CACGACACACACACACACACACACACACACACACACACACACACACACACACACACACACACACACACAGCCGAACAATCTTCCCTCGAACGACATAAGAGTCGCTCTGGCATACCCTCTATTTTAGTACAAGCCGGTGGCATAGGCTGAGCTTGAGTTTTACCAACAATGTCTTCTGGAAGCAAACAGCACCCCAAGTAAGACCCCTTGTCCATTTATACGGCCATAATCCTGACTTTTGCGCTCTAAGCAGAGTTACGAACGGCATGGCCAAGGGTCTCCGTGCAGGAGATCTGAGCCATGTACCGGACGGAAGCAGCAACAGCGTGGTGGATCGATTTTCACAATCACCCGCTGCAGATGAGCCTTACTTTGCTCGCGCGCGAATGCAAGACCGGTCTAGTCATGTATCACGACTCTCAAGTCAACTCGACGCGACAGACGAAATCTTGAGAAAATGAACACGGAACTCTACTCTGTATTCCAAGTATAACCAAAATAAGGGATCCAAAAGGCCACAGAGGGCATTCTATGTACAAGTCTATTAGGTTGGACAATCATACCAGAGCCCGATGCCCGGAAACATACAAAGGCCGCATACCCCGGGGCAAATGACAGGCCCTTCAGGTCAATGAAGAAGAACGGGTTTTCCTGTCATATAGTCCAGCTCTGAAGCAGTTATCAATGCAACACTTCCATTAAGGCGCGTGCTACGTCATCATATTTTGTACTGGGGAATTCGTGTCCCGCATTGAAGTATTTGAATACCACGTTGCCCTGGAGAGCGGAAGTGGCATCTGGGACAAGTTCGTCCTTGACAATAACCGAGTCATGCTCGCCACACATGATAATCACTTTGTCACTTGGGAGACCGTTATCCTGCTGCTCTTCGGGTGATAGTTTGCTCTGAGTAGATAGGAATTCACCGAGGCGCTCCCATGATTCCCGTTGGCGCTGCTGTAATATCGGCCCGTGTTGCATGCTGGACATGAAAGCATGAACGAAGCCAGCGTGACAATTAACTTGCCATTTAACAGCTCCGGGCACAGTAACATGCGGATACGCTCGAGACAACAGCTGAGTGTTGGCGCCTCCTTGTGAGGGAAGCTCCTCGGTCAATGCATCCGCGGCGTAATCTTTTGGGATTTGGGTTTCGGGGTAGTCAGTGGGCCCGCACGGAGACGACGGCCGACAAGAAAACCCAAAACACGTTCAGGGATAAGGCCACGGGAATAAAGAAGCCGTGACTGAAAGCTGATCTGAGAGTCACGTATCAAGCCCGCCGGGGCAAGCAAAACCAGTGAAGACAGTAACTGGGGGAAAAATGACGCAAAGGATGCTGCTATCCCTCCCCCTAAAGAGTAGCCAACTAGGCTAAATTTACCACTACCAGCACCCGTCCATGATACTGAAGATGTGCTCAAAGCAAGCAATATTTGGGTTGCAAAGAGTCGATCGTCCTGAGGGAGGTCGGTCGGGCAATCCGAGTAGCCTCTTCCAAACCTGGTCGCCATGTATCAGATAAGAAAGCAAACGAAGGAGAGTTATCGTTTTAAGGTCCAGACAGAGCTAAGGACCAATAGGCTACTTACAAGTCGAATAGCATAACTCGACATCCTTGGTCCGCCAAAGCATGCGCCACTCCACCTAGGGCAATGCACGGCGTAGTGATACCATGGACGAACAAGACCTTCGGTCCATCTACTGGACCCCATTCATACACTCGCATCGATCCATACGGAGTCGGCACATCACGAGCCCCCGGGAGCACATCGTTTGGGAGAGGAATTTCACCGTTCTCGTTCTCTGCATCTGACGCGGCGGACGAGGCTATGACTTGGGGGCAACGGAGTACAGAACCTTGCGGACGCTGCTCAGTGAGAAGCGAGCGCAAGAGGAGCCCCACAGTCAACGAGGCCCCTGTCGCAGCAAGCACGGGAAGTTGGGCGCGGTGGTTCCCAACCGAATCGCGAAGAATATCGATAGTCTGGCTATACCATGCCATGATGCCAGATTCCTTTTACCCTCTATGTCTAAGTAGTATATGTCTATTTTCGTCTATGGTTTCAACCAACAAAAAAATCAACTGGTGCGCAATGAATGAATAAATCAATGAATGTAGAGTGAAGGAAGAATGAAGAGAAGTGCCGACGGTCCGTGTCGGCTGCATCTTTCCTATTGATCAGTGATCACCATCTGACCAGTGGGGCTGCCGCTAAGCCGAGGTTCGTCGGCCTGAGGCTCGCTCTTTTTGTTTTTTCTATCACGCATGTTGATGTTGATATACTCGGAGTAGAGACCAAAGAAGCGAAAGGACATATGCAGGATATTCCCATCACATTCCAATAGTCCCTTCTTTTATAATCCCTTTAGAGATTGGACTTGTCCTATATACGGTTCTAAGATATGTACCGGGGTCTTGTTAGAGATATGTAGATGATCGGGCCAAAGGATACAGGGCTCATGGAAGGGAATAATCAAATGGAATACTCGCAGGAGGAGCTAAAGCCTACTTGTAGACGTAGAGTAAAAAAGAATCAGGCGAGAGGACAAGACCATCTATGGTACCCTGACAGGGCATATCGGATCGAAGTGTGTCGGCGATAGGATTCCCAAACAGCCCAACGCGGGGTCCTGCATTATTCTTCTCCTCCGTCTAAGTGAATAGGATGGTGGCCTTGACCTTGTAAGTGATACGGACGAATCTTCCGTCCGGTCATTTTGGGACCTGAATACCGGCTAAATATGGAGTCTTCTGATATGACAGCCGCCAAATATCAGGCAGAAGAAGGGATGGATGGGGAAACGATCTGCAAGGTACCAGCCCCACATCCTATCAAGTCACCACTGGCTGGATCGAACGATGTCTCCGTCTGGAGACAGGGAAGGATTCGAAGGAACCTCCATAGTGCTCCAGAGATGGGTTTCTGCAGTGATAACTCTGGCGGATAATTACCGAGTATACTAGCTGCATATCACTTATGCGCCGCGGGATGTTCTAGTGACAAGAATGGCACGGAGGGCTGCTGTCGCCTATGTGTTCCAAGACCCAGACTCTGCAACCGTGCCTTGATCGAAGAACACCCGAAGCGCTCAGAGCCGAAGCCATAAACGACCACAAGCTTTGATATTGGTTGGATTAGAGTGGCCGGTTGTATTAGCCACGATACGCCAAGTTCCCGGGCGCCATCTGGCAGCCACAATTCCACGAACAACAGTGCCGACAGGTTAAGAGCACCGCAAGGCTTGATCTCATTGATGGATCTTCTCCCCCGCATTCCGACGATCGGCAGGGTTGATCCAGGGCGTTTAATGATGGGCCAACCCTTCATCTACTCCGGAGTAAACACTTAATGCTTCAGAATATGCATCACAGCCAATCGGGGCACATCATACCACCTCGTCCTTCCCCACATCTAGAGGGAGTTTCGTCTTGTCGATCGACTTCCAAAACAAGGACTATAACTGAGATTAGATATACTATACCCCGGATGAGGTTACCGCAAATGCCTAGTCTCCGGCAAAGGAGGAATGGGCCGGACTAGCCGGGGCGACAATCGTGAAGAAGACATTCAGCTGTCTCGTTGGAATAGGGCACCAGTTTCGTACGGCACTCTTCCCTGGGCCTCTAATCCAATCGAGCTTTTGGTAGGAGGATATACCACCGTGTATAGGTTTTGTTAGTCTCTTTCGATCGGAAGGCCGACCCGGAAAGCATGTATCATGGTTCCTCGCCCTGCTGACAGTCTTCGAAATTAGCAAGGGACACAGTTCTTCTCCTCCCTGTAATTCTCTAACCGGAGCTGTTGAGGATATCGCTTAATCCATTATTTCGGAGCATACTCCGTTACCGTCTCAGACCTACTACAGCCCTTATGCGCCAACAGTCCTCAAGTGTTCACTACACACCTATGTCATGTACACTTTAGGATCCACTCTTGGCTATACCTCAGTAGCAATATGCTCATGTGATGCCGGCGGTTCCTGTATGGCTTCCTCAATCTCTATGAAACGGTCATTTCAGCGGCATCGCGGTCCGTTGCACCGGCTAGTATGGATAGGGCTTCGCATAGGAATTTTTCCGAAATGAACACCAGGGTGTTTCTCTCCTAGATTCGTATGGTAAACAGGTTATATAAAGGCCCGATGCCTCCTGCTCAAGATCAGAATATCATCTCTGCAGGACAGGCAACAACAAAAAATCAGTTCAATACATTCTCTCTTTCCATTGAGCATCCGCAATGCATCAACGTGCACTTCTCTTCTCGGCCTTTTGGACGGCTGTCCAGGCCCAGCAGGCTGGAACTTTGACGGCGGAAACCCACCCTTCTTTGACCTGGCAAAAGTGTGCTGCTGGTGGCACTTGCACCGAGCAGAAAGGCTCTGTTGTACTTGATTCCAACTGGCGTTGGCTGCACTCGGTTGAGGGCTCCACTAACTGTTACACTGGCAACACTGTGAGTTCCTTTACGTCTATCCCAAAGGGGGACATGTACACCTGACTGACTGGATCAACAAAGTGGGATGCCAGTCTCTGCCCTGATAACGAAGCCTGCGCTTCCAACTGTGCTCTGGATGGAGCTGATTACGAGGGCACTTACGGTGTTACCACCAGCGGCGATTCCCTGTCCCTCCAGTTTGTCACCGGTGCCAATATCGGCTCTCGTCTGTACCTGATGGCAGACGACGACGAGTCATACCAGACGTTCAACCTCTTGAACAATGAGTTCACTTTTGATGTTGACGCTTCCCAGCTTCCTTGTGGCTTGAACGGTGCCGTTTACTTCGTCGCCATGGACGCTGACGGCGGTGTCGCCAAGCACGCGACCAACAAGGCTGGTGCCAAGTATGGAACTGGCTACTGTGATTCACAGTGCCCACGAGACTTGAAGTTTATCAACGGCCAGGTAAGAAACACGCCTTTATATTTTCGGCTAAACATAGTAACAATGGAAATCAGGCCAACGTGGAAGGATGGGAGCCTTCCGACAGCGACAAGAATGCCGGTGTTGGTGGCCACGGTTCCTGCTGCCCCGAGATGGATATCTGGGAAGCCAACAGCATCTCTACGGCCTACACCCCTCATCCTTGCGATGATACCGCCCAGACCATGTGTGAAGGCGACTCTTGTGGAGGAACTTACTCTGCGGATCGTTATGGAGGAACTTGCGACCCTGATGGATGTGACTTCAATGCTTACCGTATGGGCAATGAGTCTTTCTATGGCCCTGGCGCGCTCGTCGACTCTTCCTCCCCAGTTACCGTTGTGACCCAATTCATCACTGCCGACGGCACCGAGTCGGGCGCCTTGTCGGAGATCAAGCGTTTCTACGTGCAGGGTGGTAAGGTCATCGCCAATGCCGCCTCGAACGTTGAAGGTGTCACTGGTAACTCGATCACCACCGACTTCTGCACTGCCCAGAAGACGGCATTCGGCGATGACGACATCTTCACGCAGCACGGCGGACTCCAGGGTATGGGCAACGCCTTATCCTCCATGGTCCTGACCCTCAGTATATGGGATGACCACCATTCCAGCATGATGTGGCTGGACAGCACCTACCCAGAAGACGCTGACGCAAGCACCCCCGGTGTCGCTCGTGGCACCTGCGAGCCACACGTCGGTGACCCTGAGACGGTCGAGGGGCAGCATGGCAGTGCCACGGTGACCTACTCTAACATCAAGTTTGGCCCGATCGGCTCTACTTTCGACGCTCCAGCCTAAGTGCCAGAATTTAAGGGCAGTCAAGGCTAGCCTTGTTAGGTGTGGCATTGGGAACATTGAGCAAGACATGTACATGGCATGGGAAAAAAGATGTGCTGGATAGAGGTCCTATCAAGGACACATGTCTCTATACTCTGTTCTTTTCTTTCGCTTCTATTTGCCTTGGTTCTGCCGAGCAGAATCAAGGGGTTCCACTCGACTTTTTTTTATGACATTCTCTGTGATTCGCGTTCTTTTCTTCGTCTGTATTCAATTAGGACAAATTGACGAGACAGAGTGTTTCATTGCCTTTTTTTATTCATATTTGGCAAAATATTGTAGCACCAATCCTGATAAATAGCAGCAGATAGTATATTGAGTAGTAGATGATCGACCAGAAACGTGAATATATATAATTCATAGGTGGAACCACCCGCGGAAGATCCATCGGCCCGCACTTTCTCGAGCGGGAAATCGATCCGAGCTTTATCCAAGAGCTCCGAAGGGGAAAAAAAAAGGGAAGATTGGTGACACTTTAATTCTTCATCACATCGCCATGTTTGACACAGTCTGCACATTACCGCTTTCCGCGGATTTATTCGCGCAGGCCATACATCCCAAGGAACCAATTGTCTCCGTTGGGCTTGCCACCGGTCATGTCGAAACCTTCCGTCTTCCGTCAGACGAAGTGGACAGTGACGACGATCAGGCGTCGACTTCTTCGTCGCGAAATGGCCGGGGACATATTGATACGATGTGGAGGACGAGAAGACACAAAGGCAGCTGTCGGTGCCTAACGTTTGGACTGGACGGTGAATCCTTGTACTCCGCGGGAACAGATGGATTGGTTAAAGCTGCAAAGGCAGAGACCGGTGTGGTGGAAAACAAGATTGCAATTCCCCCGGAGAAAGACGGGTGAGTCCTATAATGACTGAAAAATATATATTTAGTTTCGTGGGACAAACTGTTAGTGGAGGATTTACATTGACTCGTCTTTGTTCTGCAGCTCCGTCGATGCCCCGACCGTCATTCATGCGCTTTCCCCCCAAACCCTCCTTCTCGCTACTGACTCGAGCGCACTGCATCTCTATGACCTTCGCCTTCCGTTTTCCCGCGTCTCGGCCCGGCCACAACAGACACATCACCCTCACGACGATTACATCTCATCTATCACTCCATTGCCTGCTTCGGATACCAGTACCTCGGGATTTAGCAAACAATGGGTATCAACCGGTGGTACTACATTGGCCGTGACGGATCTACGACGGGGAGTACTAGTGCGCAGTGAGGACCAGGAAGAAGAATTGGTCAGCTCCGTGTATGTCGGTGGCTTGGCCACGACCGGGACAAGCCGCGGAGAGAAGGTGATTGTGGGTGGCTCCGGTGGAGTCCTGACCCTTTGGGAAAAGGGTGCTTGGGACGATCAGGACGAGCGCATCTACGTTCAGCGAAGCGGCGGGGACGGAGAGTCTCTCGAAACCCTTGCGATGGTCCCTGATGAGCTTGGAAAGGGCAAGATGGTCGCGGTTGGTCTCGGAAGTGGTGGTGTTAAGCTCGTCAGGATTGGCCAAAACAAAGTTGTGTCAGAGGTTATGCACGATGAAACGGAGGGTGTTGTCGGTCTAGGATTTGATGTGGAAGGACGTATGGTCAGTGGTGGTGGACAGGTGGTCAAGGTTTGGCATGAAGCAGTCGGATCTGGGGCAAATGGCGCTAGCGCTGGTGAAAAGCACATGCTTGAGGACAGTGATGAAGACAGCGACGACGATGGCGACGACTCGGACGATAGCGATGGTGAACGTCGGCGGGCCGACGAGGCGCAGAGAAAACGGAAGAAGGGCAAGGGCAAGGATCGCAGCGGCGGTCAACACGTCATGGCGTTCTATGATCTTGATTGATCCTGTCGCTCTTCCTGATACTCGTACCTGCACAAAGGGAATTGGCTTGCAGGAAACAAATGCGAGGAACGGACTGCACGGCAGGAATGCATAGCGTGTGGAGTTTTCTATGGGAAGAAACCTTTTAGATTGGGGAAGGGCTGTGAGCTGCAAGGTCGGAACACTTGCATAATTCTTATAGTATGTAACTTAGTCGGTTCAACCAACGATTTATATGTCAATATGGGCAAGTATTCTCTACAGAATTGACCTTGACGTCAATTTCGATCCTTTGGGTCTAGCAACAAATTCAGCCCTCTTTGACCATGTGACGTTGGCCAGTTTGTCACTGGACGGGGGATTTCCGATGTGAGGAACTTTGCCGTCCTTCTTCCTTATAAATCGGCCTTCCCGGAAGCAATCAGAGCAGCAGATGCCGAGAAATCAGGACCCCCGCGAAAGGGACCCACGGCAAAGGCATTTGCCTGACGGTTGTTTGCAGGACCGTCTCCTACTACTGGTGGGGTGTGGGGTGCAGCGAGATTATTCATGATGATCAAAGTTTCCTCTAACCCATAAGAGTCTCGGTATTTATATCGGTCGACCGCCAGCTCCTACACGAGTAGCACTAACTAGATATAAAACTGATTTGTTCCCCATTGACTGTCCCGGTGTGACTTTCATCTTCTTCCAACGTCACAAAGGCAAAAAAAGCAAGCTCTTATGATGGATGCATTCGAATATAACGCGAACCCTGGGCGAGTCATCTTCGGCAGTGGTACTCTCCAGAAACTCCCCGATGAGATCTCTAGACTCAATCTAAAGGCTCCACTGGTGTTGTCAACACCACAGCAGATCAGCCAAGCGGAGAGGGTCAAGGATGTCCTCAAGGGTAAGGTAGCCGGCATCTTTACTGAGGCTACAATGCACACTCCTACACACGTTACAGAAAAGGCTCTCGAGTATGCAAAGTCTCAGAATGCTGATTTGGTCATCTCTATCGGCGGTGGAAGCACCATTGGGCTGGGAAAAGCCATCAGCATCCGTACGGGCATGCCTCACATTTGCATTCCAACCACCTATGCGGGAAGTGAAATGACCCCTATCTTGGGCGAGACGGCCGATGGCTTGAAGAAGACACGTTCAGACCCTAAAATCCTTCCCGGAACTGTCATTTACGATGTCGACCTTACTATGACATTGCCACCAGCAATGAGTGCTACGAGTGGTGTGAATGCTATTGCTCATGCCGGTGAGTCCTTAAGAACCTGCTACTGCTCTGACCATTATATGATGTCGAAAGCTCAACGGTTATCATACGACTAGTCGAAGCACTCTATGCCCGCAATACTAACCCCGTCATCAACTTGATGGCCGCCGAGGGTACCCGTGCACTAGCATCAGCCCTTCCTGAGATTGTCGAGAACCCCACATCTCAATCTGCCCGGCGTCGGCTCTGTATGGTGCTTGGCTCTGCGGGACCTGTCTCGGTAGTGTGGGTATGTCTATCCACCATAAACTATGCCATACGTTGGGTGGCAGTTTCAACTTGCCCCATGCAGAGACACATACAGCAGTGTTGCCCCATGCAATCTCTTACAACGCACCGAAGATTCCAGAGGCAATGAAGAAGCTGGCTGAAGCGCTTCCCGGTAGCAATGGAGATGCTGTCCAGGGTCTAAACATCTTGCTGTCCAAATTGCAAGTCAAGCGAGGCCTTAAGGACTTTGGCATGAAGGAGGAAGATATCGACAAGGCAGCGGATATTGCTGTGAGCAACCCCTACTGGAACCCACGGGAGATCGAGCGCGCACCAATCCGTGAATTGATTCGACGTGTTTGGGCTGGGGAACCAGCACGGGCGGATTTGTAGGTTAGCGAGCCTTCTATACAGTAAGCTGCTATATCTGATAGTTAGGCTATCGTACTTGCTTACTTACCAAAAAAAATCATACGGTTCTAACCATGATAAATTTTCATCTTGCGCATTATCGATCAACCATTTCACTAGGACAGAAATACTATGAATGGAAAAATATAAACTCAAAGGGTAAAGGCATTGTATCGCATGTATAAACATCAGTAATTGGCATCCGCGCCATTGGTTCTTGTACGGAAATAATTTAGATGGCGGGGTGAAGTGGGGGGACTTTTTGTTCTCCCAAAATCGCGAGAAAAAAAATTCCACAACAATTTCAAACCCCGCCATCTCCACGATCTCCCTTAATTCAACATAGTTTGCTCTTGTTATCTATTATATTGCCGATATCATCAACTTCTCGAGATGGCTACAGAAATGGCAGCAGCCCCCGTGCTGTCAACCCCCGATGATCGTATTCTCGAGGCTACAGAACCCATCACTACACAAGAGGCACCGCGCACGCTGTCGGATGAGGAGCTATCAATCACTTATGATATTGACCGCACGTTGAAGGAGATCCGAGAGGCTCGTTATAGGCGAATTGCTCTTCAGTTCCCCGATGATATGCTTCCGGATGCACCACGGGTGTTTCAATTGCTTAGCCGCGGTTTAGACAAGCGCAACGCTACTGACGGCAATGTTTCTCACACGCAGAAAGATGGAGCGAGTACTACTGCAGAGTCGGATGGCCTAGCGCATTCGGTTTCTCAGCTCAATATCGCGGATACTACGGAGACGTCGCCAAAATTGTATATCTTAGCCGATACGTCCTACGGGACTTGCTGCGTCGACGAGGTGGCTGCGGAGCATGTCAATGCAGATGTCGTCGTGCACTATGGCCGCTCATGCCTATCTCCAACGTCGAGACTACCGGTGATCTACGTTTTCACACATAAACCTCTTCCCATCGACCCCGTCGTTCGCGCTTTCCAAGAGACCTACCCTGACCTTACCACAAAGGTCATCCTCGCGGCTGACGTGACATACACCGACCATATTCCTGCAGTGTACTCGCGACTTGTGAATGAAGGTTACACCAACTTGTTTGCTACTGATTTGGTCCACAACCCATCATCTGCGATTCCCAATCGAACAGTGCCGGACTCCGTTTGCGAGACTCCTGATTCATTATCAGAATGGCAGCTTTTCCACATTTCAGACCCTCCTACGGCTCTCCTCATGACGCTGGCGTCTCGCGTAGCTTCAATTCACATATATCCAACAGATGACCTCCAAAACGAAAACGTCAAGCCTTTGCCTGCATCGACCGCAATCGCTTTGCGGCGTCGATATGCCACCTTGACCCGTCTCAGCACTGCACCAATCTTCGGAATCTTAGTCAACACGCTTAGTGTGAAGAACTATCTACATATCGTAGAGCATGTGAAGCAGAAAATCGCGGAAGCTGGCAAGAAGAGCTATATGTTTGTGGTGGGGAAGTTGAACGCAGCCAAAGTGGCTAATTTCAGTGAGATCGATGGTTGGGTGGTCATCGGTTGCTGGGAGAGTTCCCTAGTTGACAGCAAAGATTTCTGGAAGCCAGTGATCACCCCATTTGAGCTGGAGCTTGCTCTCCAGGGGGATGCCGAGCGTATCTGGACCGGAGCCTGGCAGAGTGACTTCCAGAGCGTTCTTAATCAACCTAACCAGGAAGTCGAGGAGGAGACTCCATTGTCGAATGGTGCGACCGTTGATGAGGAAGAGGATATGTCAGAATCCGAATCTGCACCACCTGAGTTCGATTTGCGCACCGGTCGATATGTCTCGCACTCGAGGCCGATGCGGAATCCTGCACCCCGCGTTTCAGCTTCAGCACAGGATGCGGCCTCAGCAGCTAGTGGGCCGTCTGCTGCTCGAGCACTGGCCAAACGGGCCAAAGGGGATTTGGCTATGATCGGCGGGACCTTCTCTCCAGGGGCAGAATTTCTTCGGTCGCAACGGACGTGGAAGGGGTTGGGGAGTGATTTCGATATTCAATATGAAGAGGACGCCCCAGATGATACGCTGGTGGTGGAAGGGCGCAAGGGCATTGCAAGGGGATATACAGTGGGCGATTCAATAGACCGGCACTAAACTTCCCGGAGATCCATTGGATTGATGAACTATATTATATACCCTATGTTATTGAAGGTCAACACCTGAAAAGGGAAAGAAAAAGGGTTATTCCTCCATAGATCGACCAAATAGAATTCAACCCTGTTGAGGTTCAGGGCCTCTGGATTATTTATTAAATAATTGAAGTATCTTACTGGCTCGAATAGGGAAGGTCGCAAAAGTGAGAAGAGTCTTTTGGAGTCGACCTATCACATGATGCAAGCGGGCAGTTTGCCGGCCGTAAGGCCGTTGGTTTTTGTCCCAATTGTGAGTTGTCAAAGCCACACATCAGCCAGTATTATCGTATCTTGTTCTCCCTTTGATGGCCTAGCATGACGTCCAACTCCTGAGTCTATACCGCCCTCCTTGCGCTGTGTCGCCCTCCTTCTTTTCTCCCTATGATGCGCTGCATCTTCCGCAATCTCCGCTGTGTTCGCGACCTCGCGTCACTTTGACCTTCAGCGGCAGCAACAGCAACAGCAATAGCGTGACCGACAGACGTAAAGACAAAGGCAATAAACCACGCTGGTACATCTCTCACCCACGATCTGACGGCCAGTCCATAGGAGAACCAGGCACCTGAAAGCATGGCCGATAGCGCCGCTCACAACCAGCAGGTGCTGGTCGACTCCGCCCTGGAACAGTCGCTCATCCCCGTCCAACGCTCTCTCTCAACCTTCGAACGAGTCATCACGACTCATGCTCCTCTCCTCGAATCCCTGCTACTTCAACTCCCGACAGACTCCATTTTGAAAATCTACCACACTTCCCGCTACCTCCGGTCCTTTCTTAGATCTTATCCCACAGCATGGAAGCACTTGTCGTTTCGTCTATTCTTCCCTTCAGGTACCTCTTCACCTCCGGGTTGTCATGCCAGGGACTCTGGAGCCAGTGGTGGTACCGCGGCAATCCCGCCCTTATGCTCTTGATCAGCTGTTGATGAATGTGGTGGTCCCGTTCAGTCCGTGTTTGAGGAGTCTAGAGTTGGATAATACGGCGGTGTCTGGGCAGATACTCATATCGACTGTCTTGTATTCACGGCGCGAAACACTAGAGCATCTCTCCGTCCGGGGATGTAAAAATGTCTCCCTTAAATACCATATCATTCCGTATCTGACAATGTTTGGGCTTCAATATGATGTGGATATGGAAAACAGCATTGGTAGCTCTTCATCTACCAAGCGTCTTGCACTGAAAAGCCTGTATACCTACCGATGCCGACATCACCGAAGAAGACCCTACCTCTCCTCTTCTTTAACTCGGAAGGATTCAGACTCGGAGCCGACCCATGAATTAGTCAACCTCTGCCATAAACTAGGGATTTGGACCGACACCGCGTGGTGTTCGACTCCCGCCGGGAGGTGCTATAGGAGGAGAGGTTACGTTTCCATGAGAGTACCGCAAGGCTCTGCGGAGGTCTGGGTGGTTTTTGACCGGTTATGGCGGTCGAAGAATTGGATTGGCCCGGTAGACCACAGCAGCCGTCCACCCAAAAGAGACGGTAAGCTGTGGGAACATGAGGAGACTGGCTGCTATGGTGAAGCCCTTGGGACAGGAGAAGGCAGGGACCTTGGCGAGGGTAAAATGTCACCGGCCCATTCACGTTGGAGCCATAAGCGATTTGTGGAAAATATCCGCTGCGACAACTGCTACGAAGAGATTCCGGAAAGATGCGAACAGTGTAGTGTTCTAATGCACTGTGTTGGGTGCCGCAAGACGCTCTGTGCAAGTTGTGCTTATGATCGGCCCTACGTTCGTCCTCGACGGCCCTCATCGCTGTCAGGGGAGTCTAAGCAACCTTTCTGGTGGGCGCCAGGGGCCACCACTTCGCCCTGCCTCATGCTGGATCCCTTGGAGAGTACCTCTGAAAGTGATACCTTGAATCATAGCACCACACCCCCTCATCCTGTCCTGAAATTTCACTGGTGTTGTACCGAACCAATCTTTTCCGGTGGAGGCGGTATCAGTATTGGAACTCCTAACCGGGATGTAGACCAGGTGCGAGCAGCGCCTCTGCCCCGTGGGCAAGGCTGGGAAGACCTGGAATACTCGGCGCAAGAGTGGAGTAAGACTTTTCCCAAGTATGCCTACGGTGATCCACGGAAACCTGACTACACACTCGAAACGGGACATATAGCTATGATGAAATGGTTGCTGGGGCCTCCAGACCGAGAGCCCACGGCTTGCCCTCGAAATCTGTGTCAGGAATGTTATGACACTCCCCAGTGGAAGGTACACTGTAAAAGTTGCTCGAAGCCATTATGCATTGAACATGATCTACGCGGCCTCCGCTTACGCATTTGTGGATACCGTGACCTTACTCTAGAAAAGATGGCCATCCAAAATCGGCCCGGATCAGGCTCTCAACAGACCACCAGTGCTGTTGCTTCGTCGCATTACTTGAGCTCCTCGACCGAATTTGCATTGCCATATCGGACCCACCGGGCTGTCGACTCTACTGCAAGCAGCTTTACCGAGGATAATCCTGCGGATGCCGTCCCGGATGTTAGTAGCCACGCTGTGCAAGGCGCTGACGACCCGCCAGGGCCCATTTCTCTTGTGCACCGCCGACTCAGGAGTGTCTCAGTCTCGAACTCGAACCGATCCCGTTCCTCATCACGTTCCTCCGTTGGTTGTGAATCACAGTCAGATTCGGCCAAGTGGCAAGGCTGCCAATCGTTCTTTTGCCCGCAGTATCGAGCTGTCGGCGATCAACGACAAAGGTGTGGTAGTGTCCTCCGTGAGTGTTCAAGCTGCTCGGTGCACGTATGCCAGGACTGCGTTGAGGCCAATCCTCCATGTAACTGCTCATACTGCGAGGTAAACTATCTGTGCCCGAACTGCCTCAAGCTTCGAGAGCAGGACGGAACCTGCCGTCGGCTGGAAGAGGAAAAGGCACGGAGGGAACAACGGTGGAAGGAAGATATGCAGATGCTGGAGGGGATCTTGGAGACTAAGATGGCAAACGAAGTTGCGGAATATGCGGGTCAGTTCTTCAACTCCGTCGAGGAGCCGGGCATATCTGTTGAGCAAGTGGAAGATGTTCACCAGAATGCTCCATCTCCGCATCATGTCCGCATCTTCGACGGCTCACCCTGGATGGGACCTATTACAGAGGAGGACGTAGTCGATAGCATAGAGTAAGGGCCGAGCCGACTACATGAGGCTATACACGTTCGCTACTATCGTTCATCCTCTCCTTTCCGAGGTTAAGTTGAGTGGTCCGCCAGGTGTGTCGACTGCCCTGGCCTTCAGGGGGAGATGTCGAGTGATGCTACCAACCCTGATTCTTTTTGCTAACATGCCACCCTCACTTGTTCACGGACATATATGATAATGCTTTCACTTCTCCTCATTTATTCACACACTACATATCAGATTAACTACGAATACCCTATGAAGACCGGGATGCTTGCTGTTATAGACAAGCCAGCCCAGTCGAATTACATGATATCATAAAATTTCATGACATAATTAAAACATGTGCCATATCCATACTCTACAGACTCGTATTCAAACAGCCACATTGATCGAATAGAAAAACACCCGAAAGAGGCTAGTAAGCTCCAGCTCCATGCGGAACTGCCCCGCCAACGGAGAGAACAAAAGTCCAAACAATCACAACGAACACTGGGAATCTCTCTCCTGTACTTTCACATCCACTCAGTAACCAGCTCACCGAACACTCACAAATATAAAAAGCCTTTATCAAAAACCCGTCAAGGTATTTCAAGCGTACATCTATTCTCCCCGCAACCCACTTCTATTCATTACCCCGCCATCCCACTCTACAACAAGCACAGGTACTAAAGAACCACCAACATCAGCTGACTTACCACAAAGCATCTGAGCAAGCGCATAGACCCCAAACCCAACCATGTCTTCTGCCGAGGCCGAACGCGATCCGAACCCCGCCGAACTGGCCGAGCGCGAGCGCGAGGAGAAGGAGCGCAAGGCGAAGGAAGACGCCGAGCAAGCGAAGCTGCCATACAAGTGGACACAGACCATCAAAGACGTGGACGTGACGATTGCCGTACCGGGAAACCTCAGGGGAAGGGATCTGGATGTGGTTTTGACCAAGACTAAGATCAAGGTGGCGGTTAAGGGACAGGAACCTATTATCGAGGTAGGCTACGCTCTTTTGGTGATACCGGTGGGCATTAAGGATGGGATAGCTAAGTGTTTGACAGGGAGACTTTCCTCACCCGGTTATACTTGACGAGTGCTCATGGACGCTGGAGACGACATCGCAACCGCCTGGAAAGGAGGTAGCGGTTCATCTGGACAAGGTGAATAAGGTTGAGTGGTGGCCGCATGTGGTGACTTCTGCGCCCAAGATCGACGTCAGTAAGATCACGCCCGAGTCATCGAAGCTGAGCGATCTGGACGGGGAGACCAGGGCCATGGTCGAGAAGATGATGTACGATCAGCGACAGAAGGAAATCGGCGGCGCAAGCAGCGATGAGCAGCGCAAGATGGATCTTCTGAAGAAGTTCCAGGCGGAACATCCGGGTATGTTTGGACACTATCGTGCTTAGGGCCTCGTAAGGTTTACTAACATTCTGGTACAGAGATGGACTTCTCCAATGCACAAATCGGCTAGTTGATGGGCCATTCCAGATGTGTATGAAGTAATGAGCATTAGTCTTTTCGGACAGGACATGAGTATTCAGATTTTCGATTCGTTAAAAGCACATGGGCTATATTAATAAGTAAACATTCCGAGGATATATCAAGATGGTTGCTCCTGTTGGCCGAATACGAGAGCTACCTGGTTAGGACTAGTGGCGAACAAATATACTTGACAAACGGCGATTCTTGTGCTATACTTCGTGTCAGTTATGCATCGAGTCAAAGGCATTATCCTCGCCTTATGAATTATTCCAAATTCTCGTATTCACAGACATGAGCCAGTATGTTACTGTCCTTGCGAAAACTATCATAAATAGCCCAACCACCGTGCCCGTACCAGAAATGCAACTGGCAAAATTTTACAAAGTTAGCATTTCTACAGAGGACATATACCCCATAGCATCCATTTCGTGGCTTTGCTCTTTAATACTATACATTTCCAATACTTGCAGCGGTTTTTTTCCCAAAGACGGTGCGGTCGATGCATACGAGGAACAATTTGCGATTCAAGAAGCCATCATATTATGCATGAGTAATAAGCATCGAGCATGGTCTAAGGCATTCGATTCGGATTTCAAATTGTTCAAGTCATTGATCTCTTCAGAGATGGTGAAATTCCATCCCTGCCGTTTTATTAACCGTACAGTTGGTCAATTTCAGGATCCACCATACCCCGTCTGGATGCCCCAGATGTGCCATAGTACACGGAATACTAACGATTACAATTGACTACTAGTATTTAGTTTTTGCCTTGTGGCTCAGGGCGGTGTGTCTCACGCCAATGAGGGTCTGGACAGCTTCAATACTGTTCCATGATGTAGGGACACTGACAACGGGGCTGAGTCCTCGTATTCCTCTCACATCCACCCAAAGGACAATCATTCCTTCCGTCTATGATGAGAAAAGGGTGAACAAGTCTTAGTATCTGGTCTCTAATTATCCACACATATATCTCATAAAACCATCAACTGGAAGTTGGTTATAAAAAGCGATGCCAGCTATAGCAGACGAGTCTACTGGGAAAGGCCAGTCCCACAGCACCCACCCCCCGACACTCCTGGACACCTTACAGGGCCGAAAGAGCCTATTTCGTGTGCCACTGTACCAATCGTCAGGCGCAGAAGACGGCGCTGAGAAGGTTTATCATGCCCGTCGATCGCACCGGAAGTCGCGCGCTGGATGTGTGAAATGCAAGCAACGAAGAGTTAAGGTACTCGCCACTTTCATACATACTCCTTGTATTCGAAGGAATGCAGGGCTGAAGGATCCTAGTGTGACGAGACTAAGCCCCACTGTCTGCGATGCCAAAAGCATGGAGTTGACTGCAGCTATGACGCCGGTCCAGTTAGCTCTGCGCGTAGCAAGGGTGTGATATCCTACTTTATCGACAATGTCCCAAGCTTGACCGAGCAGGAATCAGCGGCATATACAATGTCGCTGCGTGCTGTCTCGTTCAAGTTAGACGAGCTGCTACGCTTGAAGCCTAAAAATGGTCATCTGTCTTCTATCTGCGAGCATTGCACCATTTCCATGAAGCTACGATCCCTACTGTCAGCTCCGAGCGTAGCCAGAACATGATGAGGGGTAAAATGATCCAGCTGGCGTTCGATGTTAGGGTTCCTGGTATATCCCCAGTCAGCAGGCCATCGACAAGCTAACCGGGCCTAGTCACCGTTCCTCATGCACGCCATCATCGGCGCAGCAACATCCCATCTCCGCCGCATCTACCCCGAAGACAACACCTACACGATGGTGGAGGCCTACCACTGGCAAAAGGCCATCAATCAGTACTCCGAGGAGATCTCCACCGCCGTCGGCCCACACAACATGGACCCCCTCTACTCCGCCTGTCTCCTCATGACCATCCACTCCTTCAGTCTCGAAGAATACAGCCCCCGCAGCTCCTTCGTCTTCTCCGACGACCCCGAAGCCCTCAACTGGCTGATGCTCCAAAGCGGCCTGCGCTATCTCCTCGGGCTGACAGGCCCCTGGGTGACCCAAAGCATGTGGTGGGACGTCTTCAAGCGGTCTCGCGAGGGTAACCCCCTCTACGACGACCATCGTCCCGGACGTGTCGACCTACATCCGGAACTCGCCGACATCTGCGGCATAGACGATACCACCACCGAGGAAACAAACCCCTACCACTGGCCCCTGCGAATGCTAACCCCCTTGCTCTCCCTCGAGCGCAGCATCAAGACGTTCATCCACTATACGAATTACATGGGCCGGCTCCTGCCGGACTACTACGACCAGTTGTTGAAGAAGGACCCGCCTGCATTGATTATCCTCAGCTGGTGGCTGGCCATGATAGTAAATCTCGATGTCTGGTGGATGGAAACGAGGGCCAGGTCCGAGTGTGTGGCGATCTGCATGTACCTGGAGGAGAGCGATGATCCGCGCATTCTTAGTCTGCTGGAGTTTCCGGCGCAGGCTTGTGGGTATTTACTCAAGCATGTGCAGGAGCGGATTGCGTGTCAGTATGATGTGGTGTTGCTGTAACTTACCTGGTAGGACAAGACTGGTCGAGGTTTATGTATGGCTTTGTGTTTGGTGTTCCGTGCGTTGATGTGTTTACTCGAGCGTTTAGAGTGTAATATTCCACATGTGGAAAGTCTCATGATTTGAACACGTATATATGTATATGTATTATGTACGGTGTAGTCTCATTAGATGACGCAGATCAAGCCGAACAAGAGTGCCCTTAACGCCGATTACCCATATCCATGCATAGACAGTAAGTCTCTCAAAGTCCATCATTACTCGTATAAATATGTGGTGCTCCAGTGGCCAAGATGTAGTATCGGGAAATAGAGGAAAAGAGGAAGAAAGATCGTGGAGGAAGAGGCAGGGGGAATGGGGTGAATAGACAAGACAATGCCCCCCAAGCGATGTCCCGATCGGTCAACAGACCAATTAAACCTCGATATTGCAAAACGATTTGGAACAACTATTGGCTCTCCCACGAGAACCTCCGTGGTCTCCCAGACTCATGCTCTTCATCGAAACTTCTTCGCGACAACACATTCCGGACTAAACCGTGCGGCCTTTGGAATACAGGCCGGGGCTGCGCAATCTGCATCATAGCTACCTGCTGTGGCGGCAGCGGATACCCCGATGAAGACACTGACATAGACCTCGACGGCGCAGGAGAGACCCCGCGAGACGAATACGGCGGTGGCGGAGTGTCCCTCGTTGCCGTCGAGGTATTCCCGTAGCTACTGGGGAAAGAGATAGCGGAAGAGACCTCCGAGGTCAGGTCTTCGGGATTGTGGTTCCGGTTAGGGGCCATCTCAAAGGCGAGACGGTCCTTTTCATCTTGGAAATATGTGGAGTTGCTGCCGTTCTCAGAAGATGACACTGGTGGATCCCGCATGTGTGCTTCTAGCGTTTTCTCCTGAATGCTCACGGGTCGTGGGGTATATCTTGGTAATGGGACGACGGGGCTGTAGCCATCATCCTCGTACATCCCTGGGGGACCATTGCTGTCTGGATTATATGTGGCGGTGCCATTGTCTCCGTTTTGGGGTTGATGACGAGGCTGAGCCGGCGGTTGAGATGACAGTGGGGAACTGCGGGTCACGCAACCGCACAGTATGTTGAAAATGGACATGGCGACTCAGGAAATATTTAGAGAAACAGTCAGAGGTTGGGTGATGTGAAGGATAATCTCTAATGACTCCGACGAGGGGAAAGGAATCAAGAAACAAGTCCTTGTGACTAATGCGGGAATCGGGATCTGTATACGATGTACAGATGGTCAATGCGGTCGGCCTGATAAGAGTGGAGCAAAGATGAATTGTACTCAGTGCATGTCCAGCATGACGGTCGGCACCCGCAGAGTGACCCCGTGGGGTGATGATGCCAATTTATGCACTGGTGGGAGCGAAATGTCCAGACAAGGACACAGTATGCAGGAATGCGAGGAAGTGAGGAGAAAGCGAAGTGACATTCGAATGGGGCGTGGAATCAGAATGGGGACATTCGTATTTGTGAGTGCCTGAGGCAGCGTCAGCTCAGGCTTGTTGCTGATCCTCTCAGGCATCCATATTTTTGATTGGCTGCGATAAAGATAGCGTTTCGGGGATCCACTGATACGGATGGCGCCTGAGGCAGGAATGGGGGTTTTTTTTCTTTTCCCCACCAGATCTTTTTTCTTCTTCTCCGCAACACCATTTCTTTCCCCTCCATTGATCGCGGTCTATTTTGTATTCCCTCGTTGAGCCGCATACCGTTCTTTTCAGTCTTGAGGAAGATGGCTCCAGATAACGCTCACTCCTACGATGACATTATCAAAGTCACCCAAGAGGTTCAACCTCCCATGATTGCCCCGCATCGTTCGCACGACCCCTCCAACAATCTCAAACGCAGTGATCCCTTTCAATTCGGTTCTCGCTACCTGGAACAAGGCGACGACGTCTTCGAGTTCAATGCCTGGGATCACGTCGAACCCGACGACGAATTTTTAGCCTTCGCAGAAGTCCAATACGCCAAGCAGCGCGAGTCGCCCGCATCGGACTTCGACAAGTTCCGTTTCAACGCAGACCCCGCCAAATGGTGGAACCTGTTTTATAAGAATAACACAGCCAACTTCTTCAAGGATCGCAAGTGGTTGCAGCAGGAGTTTCCTATCTTAGAAGAGGTTACCCGCCCCGATGCAGGAAAGAAGGTCGTTCTGGAGGTGGGCGCAGGCGCTGGAAACACGGCATTCCCGTTGATCAACAACAATGCGAACGAGGAACTCATGGTCCATGCGTGCGACTTTTCGAAATATGCCGTCAAGGTTATACGGGAGAGCGAGCACTATAACCCGAAGCACATCACTGCGGACGTGTGGGATGTCGCTGCCGAACCCGATGAGAACAACGACTCTCTTCCTCCAGGGTTGACGGAGGAATCGGTTGACGTCGTGGTTTTGATCTTCATTTTCTCCGCCCTCAACCCGAACCAGTGGGAAAAGGCCCTTCGCAATATCTACCGGGTCCTGAAGCCCGGTGGTAAGGTCTTGTTCCGTGACTACGGGCGGGGCGACTTGGCTCAGGTTCGATTCAAGAAGGGTCGGTATTTGGATGAGAACTTTTACGTACGTGGAGACGGCACTCGTGTGTTCTTCTTTGATAGAGATGAGCTGGAAGAAATGTGGGGTCGGTGGACACCCGAGAAGGGTCTCCCGGAGAAGGCCGAAGGTGAAAAGGCCGTTACCGGCGAGAATGACGGTGCTTTCAAAATACACGCCTTGGCATATGACCGGCGGTTGGTGGTCAACCGCCAGAAGAAACTGAAGATGTACCGTTGCTGGATCCAGGGGCACTTCGAGAAGCGCGAGAAGGCTGTTGCAGAGAACGGCGAAAAGAGCGAGTCGTGATCGGGGTTTATTGAAAATACTTAAGCATACAGCTTACTGCAATGCGCCTTGCATTCGCCTCCGATTTGGCGCTGCTGGTCCAGGCAACTCAATTCAGGACCGATTGGCTTGGGAATCCCAGAGTACTGGGTTTGAAGGGCCTATCAGCTTGCACAACGTGTCACGAGAAGATATTCGATGCCTCCGCACGCAATCTTGTCAGGTCTTGCGGAGACCCTCGACTACAGCTGGCTTAGCACTATGCACCACCATGGACGACATGTTTGCTAGAAAAGCTCCGCTCATAGAGTACTTCACGATGTTATGATGATATATGCATGTATCTATAGATGTCAGGATACCAGCCCGATAAACTTGCTAGAATTTGACCGAATTTGTCTAGAGTATGACAACTGAACATATAAACTCGATACAAGCATGACAACTCGTATAGGCGCAGACGCCCATGGGCTTAGTCCGGATAAATGCTACTGGAGGGCATCTCCTTAGTACATTTCCATTACCACGATCGTAGTCGAAATTGAGCCCCTGTGTCCTGTGCTCTTTTTTTTCGCTACCGCCGTCTATTCAATCTAGCCCACTATAAACCCTAAGTAGATCTCGAGTACGGCAATTAACAACCCCTCACCTCTATATTCCTTGCGTGCCTATGTGCCATATTGTAAATTTGAACAAAGAATCTAAGGGAGATCTCAAACGGAGATACCTCAGCTCTGCCTCTCGGGTATGCATCTAGTATCCCCGAACTATACAGTGTATATATACTCCATACACGAAGAGCCATAGAGAGTGACCGGGTGACCGTTTAAAGAAGATCATTAACATTATATAGTATACTACTCTCACTCTTTTTTATTAGACCTAACCCCCCCCCCCAAATTAAACCTCCTTCCCGATAGCCCTAATCCTCGGGCCCCAAAACCAAAGCACGAAGGGAATGGGCACGCCCAGCCCCAGATAAAGCAAAGCGAGTAGAGTATTCCCCCACCCAAACCCCAGCCGGTCATACAAGCTGGGCGCAAAGATGGGGAAGGCAAAGCCGAGGATATTGGACAGCATCCTGGTGGCGGCGTTGGCGGAGGCGGCATGCGCGAACTCGTCCAGCAGATAGGCCAGCATGCCCTGGCCGACCATGAAGCAGCCGGCGGTGAAGATTGCGGCGCCGATATCGACGACGACCCACGAGATGCGGTGCTCGGCGGACCAGCCGTACCAGACGAGGCCGATGGGGATCAGCAGCACGCTGGGGATCATGTAGGGGATGCGGAACTCCGGGGTGACGATGGCGCCGGGGCGGTCGCGCATGCGCCGGAAGATGTAGTCCATCAGGTGGCCGCCGGCTTGGGCGCCGATGGTGGTGCCGATGGCGATGGCGAGGTAGTTTAGGCTGGAGATGGTTTCGGATTCGTGGTAGCGGTCGATCCAGAGGTTGGCGTAGGTGGAGAGCATGAGGACGTAGATGCCGAAGTCGAGGCCGTAGACGATGGCCAGGAACTGGATGATGGGGCGGGTGAGAAGGAGGTGCAGGGGACGGTAGATGTTCTTTCGGAGTTGGGCGAAGAGGTCGATGTAGAATTGCTGCGTCAGGGGGCTGTTCTCGGGGTATAGGTTCGGGTTCTGCGCTCTTGCCTTGCGGCGCAAGAGGGTTGGCGTGTATGATTCTTTTAGGATGAATGCGCCGAGGACGGTGACAAGCGCCTCGAATGAGGACAGGATCCAGAAGAGCCAGTGCCAGTGGATGTGCTGTGAGGCTAGCCCTCCCATTATTGGCCCTAGTGCTGGTCCCAGATACGGGATGAGGGTGGCCAGTGCCAGAGACTTTCCACGGTCTTTGGCATGGAACATGTCCGCCATGATAGGTGCTGTTAGCTGTGTTCTTTGTCAGCTATCTTGTTTCACGGAGAGTCTTTACAAGCAGGCACTCACCGTGACACCAGCGCTTGCTCCGCAGCCTGCAAGAAACCGCCCGGTCATCATCAGTCCTGCGTTGTTTCCAACGGGACAGAGTGAGTTCCAAAGGATGTACCAGACATTGGAAGTCAACCAGACAAATTTCCGGCCATATATCTCGGACAAGGCAGCGACGAGAAAGGGTCCAAACGCCAAGCCAAGAAGAAAGATTGAGAAGCAGATCTGCGTGACGGAAATGCTCAGGCCCACGTCCTCTGCAATCTGGTTCAATGCCGCAGCCATCATACTGGTCGACATGAGAGTGGCCAGTTGACCGCAGGACACCACGAGGGCAATGGAGACTTTGCGGGTAAGCGACCAGTTATATGGGTTATGGGGATCATCTGGGCTATCCCAGGTGGCCTAAACAGCGAGTGGCACCAAAATTAGCCATTCGCATCATCGAGGATGGTTAATAGGGTGTGGGTGCGATTACACCATGTGCTTCTCTGAGTCCATTGAGCTTAGCTTCGGCTTCATAGTCGACTATAGCCGCATAGTTTTGGTCCCGGCCTGCCTCCACAGCAGCCCCCTGTGGGATCTCTTTAGGTTCAGCCGTCATATTCGCGAGGATCACTGCAAATATGTTGCCAGAGATGTATATGGACTGAACTAAGTAGATCTAAACACCGCGAATGCCAATGTTTTGTTTTTAAATTGCGTTTTTTCAGTTACCCCATGATTTTGGGTCTTTCAATGTCAAGTGGATTGACATGTAATTATCTTTGAAGAGAAAAGTGAAGAAGGGATTGTCGGACATGTCGGATGTTGCATTCCAGAGTGCTTACGTCGTGACCGAAAACAGTAAGTAGCTTGGATGTAACCTTTTATCTTATCTGATTTTCGTTGCAGATTTTTCCGATAAACTTAGAATACGGCAAACTTAACCAGCATCAGTTCATATTCTAGTTAATCTACTAGATATACTTCTAGGGGTGGGGTATTCCTGCGCTAAACCATGATGTTAGGGCTAGACTAGTCACAGTCTGCGGGATACCACAGCCGATTGATAAGACACTGATATTCCGCCAAGTTTGGGCAACGAAGCTTGGAACTATTCCATGTGCTATGGGTAACCAGGTATGTGAGAATATCTTCCTAGTGCTGGCCGGTTAAGGAATTCCGGGGTCTGCTATCTTTGCTATATCCCTAGTGCTTATACCAGACAAGCAAATGCAAGCCCCATATGACTCTTTGTTCAGCTAGATAGTAGTATTAGGGAAACGAAGTGATATTGACTGGCAAATATTTCCAATTACTAGTAACATTCGTAACATATGCAACACCCTGTACTCCGCATTAGGCTCCGAAATCCAAGCCTAGAGATCCGGTTTCCGCCCAATCATGAAATACATCGGGGTGAAAAGGCCAAGCCTACCACCCTCGACAAGATTGTCACCACCGCCGGCGAGCTCGGTGGCTGTTTCGGATGTTCCAGATGGGGCCAGCCGCAGACTTTCCAGCGCCCATAGCAGGTAACCCATCGCTCCTCGTCCGACCTTCGTCATGCGCAAAACAGTGAGTAGATCCCAGAGGCTTCGTGCGTGCCGCAGCTCCCCTGCAATAGGGTAGTACCATGGAATAGGATCTGGCCGGGCTGCTAGGTCTTCTTCATGTTCGAGAACGAACCCCGCTGCTTGGATAGCTTCGGCGGCCTCATCTTGAGTACGCATGTTAACAATGCCATTGCCGCGCTCAATCCCCAGTCGAATAGCACGATGCTTAGGATTAGATTCATCGAAACGATCCGTCATGACCCATTCATATACACCAAAGCGGCCACCTGGCTTGAGAACGCGGAAGATCTGTTCATATACTTTTTGAAGGCTTGGGGCATGGACTGTGGCTTCGATGACATAGACTGCATCGAAAGTATTATCTGGGAAATCAAGATGCTAAGTTGACAGTCAGTGAGACAAAAATTCTTATAATTGTGAAATATGGCTTCATCATGCCTACCATGAAATCACCCTTGACAAAGGACACCTGATCCTCCAGGCCTGCCTTCTGCGTATGTCGTGTTGCGCGTGCAATCTGATACCCATTATTGTTGACTCCAACCACCTGGCACCCAGTGAATCGAGCAATCTCTCTCGCTGGACCCCCAACGCCACATCCAACATCCAGAACCTCCATTCCCCGCTTGATGCCCAATTTATATGCCAGGTAATGCTCGTGGCGCGCCAAAGCCTGGAGGAACGGTTCGCCGACAGTGAATCGACAGAAATGGAATGACTGTGCCCATGCTTCTTCATAAAAGTCAGTCGCAAGGTCGTAGTAGCTGTGCCGGCCAACTAGTCAGCGAACAACGGTTTGAAGTGCACCGCAGCAGGAAACAAGGTCACTCACTTGTTGACCACACCCATGTACTCAGACGTTCTCTCCTTTCGGGCCTCGTCAGTCGTGCCGTCGATGCCCTTTTCGGTCCTCCAGCGCCGCACATATTCGTTTGTGATCTCCCGATGGGCCGCGTTGTTCTTTTTGAGCATGGCGAAGAAGGCATTCTTCTCTTCTGCCGACTTTCCATGCATGGCCTTGGTTAATGCAAGGTCGGGGTCATCTTGCAGGGCAACGGCCATTGTGAGATGCCAGTAGTCGATGTTGTGCAGGAAGGGCTTTGAAAGCGAACGCCTTAAGATAGGGAGAGAAATTCGTTAGAAGGAGAGATGTGCTTGGACAACTGTTGTGGTATGAAAAGGAACAAATCGCTGAGGCAAGACAGCAACAGATCTTTATAGCAGTAGAAACTCATGTTCGTTGCATAGATACCTTCGACAACAGCCATTATCGTATACGCTCTATACGACAACTAGGGCTCAGGGACCGCTTACTCATATAAGAGCGTGAGCCAATTAAAGGCTTTACTGGCATCGTATCGGCATCGTATTTCAGATAATGCGCCAAAGTGGGTCACAGCTGGGGTAAAGTAGTGGGTACCTGACAGTAGTACATTATTCCAGCCATGTTCTACACAGACTTCCACGCTATATCTGTATGCTGGTGGAGGCCAATTGGAAACTGTGCTTTCCAAGCCCCTGGGATAACCTGCCGACAGAACACATACTCCACCAGGAGTAAAGGAATGGTAGTGGAGTGCCCAAGACTTATACTAGTCTGCACATGTCTTCCATTGGTCCAGAGCACCAACATGCACTTCATTGTGCTGCCATGCTTTATGAAAGATCCCTTCAAAGATGAGAATTCATATCGGATGCTGACTCCACAAATATCAGGCCACCTCGGCCCAGCTTTTGGCCGGTGAGCAACCCGTATATGCCGTATTTGACCCGACCCCTACAACCATCAAGCACTGGCTGGACTCCGCGGGACCCTGGGCAACAGGAAGGCCGTTGCTTAGAGGCAGGATGAGAAATCACTGGCTATGTAAGACAGTTAGCACAGATCTTTGACTGGGAAATGCCAATCTAGTTCTTGGATGTGGGAATTATCATAACAAACTACTCAGTACCCCATCTCTAAGCGAGGCTATCAGTCATCAACGGTAGCTCAGTTAGCTTCGAATTCGATATTGCTTTCAATATCAGCAACGAATGCTCTCAGCTGGCTATATTAGTTGGTCATGAGAAATCAAACAAAATTCACAGAGTGGAATACACCATACATGAAGGGTTCTTAATATATATCTCGGATCTAATGCATACTTGCGGCTCAGTAAGGTGTTTTTGTCAGTCGAAATCTCCATGAAATCGCGATGGTCAACGATAGTTCCAAGAGTTGCAGGACACCGTGAACTCTCAGAAATTCATCTCTATGAACAGACATTCTGAAAGAAAGTCAAAGTACAAGGATTTCTTGGTCGTTCTTCTGGATCCGCAAGTGTGATGACTGATGCAGTCAGGCTACTCAGGCGATAATCAGGCAACCATGCCGGATGAAGACCGTCATCAGAGGATGCCCACAGTGTACCCTTAACCTATTCCTCATGCTAACAGCGTGATCCAAGCTACATCACGTACCTAGTTGCAGGATAAACAGTGACAGTCTATGAATAAGCGGAAGCCCATTTCTGTATCCAGAAAACAACAGCTAAAATTACACGATCATAAAGACCAACTGGTAAAGACATGAGACCATGGAGGAAAAAATGTACAGATACAGAAGCACCAGATGGACTCAGGTCGCTGCGATCCGGTGCCCCATTCGCCGAGCCTTTGGCAACCCTACCCTGATTCAACAGGGTTGTTTTATATGCATCTATTGCTTCGATTCTCCTTTCGCCTGAGCTTTCTGAGCCTTCTCTTCCTTCCGGCCGTCAAGCTCCAACTTCTTAATCTCCCGCTCCAAGTCGTCAACGCCGTCTTTTCGGAACCGCGTCACCTTCTGTACGTTCAACCGTGTCAGTTCATTGAGAGTGTCCAGACCCTGAGACCGTTGCCTGGCGACGGTGCGTGCCGTCATCGCGAACCGTATATCCTTGGATCCGTCAACGAGTTCCAGGATGGCGCTAGGTGCTTGGTCGTCTTTCTTGGGCTCGACACGTAATACTCGAGTGTAGCCGCCGGGACGCTCGGCGTAGCGTTCCCGAAGGGGTCCAAAGAGCTTAGGAAGGAGATCATGAGGAGTCTGTGATCCGATTAGTACCAATAGCAACAAAAACCGACACCCTCAAGATAAATCAAAGATCAATCAAGGAGAAAGTTGACATGCAACATTCATCCCGTCCTTTAAGCAGGTTCCCTCGATGCGGAAGTATAGAAAGATGAAGAACCAAAATCCCACATACATAGAAAACCGACAAAGCCTGTCTCCGGCTCGCTTCTGTGTTCTTCTTGCCCAATGTGATCAACTTCTCAGCCAGCCGTTGCGCCTCCTTGGCCTTGGGCCATGTTGTTGTGATCGACTCATGTTTGAAGAGAGAGGTGACCAAGTTGCGAAGAAGGGCCTGTCTGTGCGATGACTTGCGGCTGAGATGGCGATACTTGGCTGCACCACCGGCCATTGTGATAGGTGTATGCGGAAGGTGTTTTTAATCGGTTGTTTTTTGGTTCTCTTTGCGGTGGCAATTGGTGGATGACGAAGATGTGTGCTGTAGAAAAAGTCGTGGGTCTGTTCCTACAGCAAGCCGAAGGACCGGTGAGAGGGGAGAAAGGCGAAATTTGGAGGTGGGCGATAGTAAGATGAAGTTGCAGTTCACAGGCGTTATGCTGGAGCATCTGCCAGGACCGGTGGAAAGATTCGTTCCTCCGCGGCAGCCAATCGGAGTGCTCGAATGGCATTCCCGATCCGCGCAACAGAAACTCCCCATACTTGCAGTTTTGTTTCTTTCATCTAGACAAGCAGACAAGCCTGCCTTTTTCAATTTCACCCATTTTCCTCTTGGTTTGGACTATATTGGACTCTCCATATCTCTCCGCATTGATAAACGGGTATTGAGTCGCCACTTTGCTATCTCCGAATCGCGACTGCTGTTCTTTCGGCCGGCACCGAAGAGCTTCCTCCCCCACCTGTCTGCCAGCAGTCGGAAAGAGTTCACTATCCTTTAGAGAATCAGTTTACTTCATAAAACAAAGAAGCAGATATGGGCTTCTTCGCTGGGTTTGTAAGTGGCAACCCCCTCCCCGACTCAAAGGCATGCGCCGAACTATCAGTTAATATGAGAAATAGTTCAGCGGATTTGCCTTAACTACAACCGCCTTATATTTAACAGTTCAAGTACATCGGTCTATTCGCCTGGAACAACGTGATGCTATACGTCAACAGACTCAAGCTCTAAATTGGTTATCTTCACCTACAGGCGCCTACGATCGCCGACTAGCCCCGAGAGATAGCGCCCGACTAGAGAAGAAAACAACGGAGCCAGAACGGCCTACTATGGAGGACTTGCTGAAGCATCACTGGAACCAAGAAGTGGAAAAGCTGGCCAAAAAGGCAAACGAAAGTCGGTGGGATGACATGCGAGAAACGGCGCGGGAAGGATGGAAGTCTGTGCTGAGGCTTGTAAAGAAGGAGTAGGTTCAATTTGGCTGAGTACATGTTCATTGGAGTTGCTCGACGTTGGCGAGCAGATATGTCCAGATACCCTTTCCTTGTCTGTCATTGACTAGCGTTTCTCATGTATTATTATTTTCCTTGTCGGTCCAACCTTACCATTTTCCCTGCATCGAATGACAATGTTGCATTTTTATACGCAAATAATGGCCACGGCCTTCTTCTCACAATACCGCAGGTCATGCAAATTGCAGGTGGTTTCTTGTGGTCATCACACAATCAGGACGATAGAATTCCCATTGCCACGTGCGTGGTAGTAACCCCACCTATGCAGAGCACTGTTGGAATTGATGGAATGTATACGTCGACTGTCAGTCAGCATGGCATGTAGACCATAGCCACAAGGCTGGAAACCTTGCGCGACGTCCACTGATGATCAATACTCATAAGGCGCCTGACAGTTTCATCCGGTGTTAGCCGTTGATGCGGTCTCTGTGGTTATGCTTTCATTGTCACTCCAGATGTCTCTGCTCTCCCTCTCCACGGCCCGCATAGCTTGAGCAACCTCCTCAAGCTTAGCTACCACATCCAATACACCGTTGTTGACCCGGTCGAAGTAGCGATCATTCGCTTCACGCCTCTCACGCGCCAGAAGAATGTCCTTTTCTGTTTCCTCGTCTAGGTTCCTCTGGGAGGCATCGTCTGGTGCGGGTGGCTCTCCCGAGGGACTTGTGGCTCGAGAGGATACCCTCGGTCTTGACTGACTCTTGCTAGCTGCATTCTTCGGATCAACTACCTCGTCAGCTTCGCTTCGAGCCCAGGCTTGCGCAAGCTTCAGCTGTTTCGTTCGCAGGTCTTCAAGGGCTTCAGAGTGCTTCTCGCCAAAAACGTGTCCACTAGCTACCGCGCTCAGCTCGACCTCTGACAAGGCATTTTGCATTTCTTGCCAGATGGCGTCCGAGCGATCTACTTCGCCTTTGGACTGGGTACGCGATAGAAAGGGCGAAAGAGAACCTGGAGTCTCGAGGCCACCGGGATTGCGAGAGGAACGATTCCGCTGCAGTGCAGGACGCTGAACCCCTCCACTCGGAGAAACAGGGGGCACCGCAGGTGTGAGAGAGATGCTAGATCCATTCTGGGAAGTCGGTGGACCTTGAAAGAGGACCGGGGGAGGCAGACGCGCAGAGGGGATTTTCCTCAGATTCTCCAATTTTGGAGCTATATCCATGATGTTCACAGGCGAACTAGAACAGAACAAGCTCCAATTGACAGCCGTAAGCAAAGAGGGAGCTTAATCTCCGCATACATCAATGCTGGACCGTCACTGATAAGGGGCTTATCGATATCGGAGGCCGGCGGGAGTTATTCCGATCCCGTGCCTCGCTTAGCGGCCGATTAGGGCGGAGCGCGCACAGCAGAACATTTTGGTGAGCCTTCAGCGACACCGCCGGCCGTGAAAGGAACCCTTCGACTCTCGACAACCATCCCCATCAGGCCTTTCGGCAATCTATATCAGTCGGTATGTATATTGTTGCTGCCATTTTTTGATGAAATATATTCGTGTCTAGGGACTTTCGTTTGCCACCGAATGATTTGATTTTTTGATTTTCCACCGCCCCGGCCATGTACATTTGAAATCCACGTCCCCTCCACACATCACGAAAGCACCAAGCCTCAGATTGCCACAGCAAGATCTAACGCATTTCTCTTCTACAGACCGTCCTTCGAACATAATCCGCCAAGATGGGTAAGGGACAGCCTCGTGGTCTTAACGCCGCGCGCAAGCTCGCGAACACCCGCCGTGAGAACCGTTGGGCCGATCTTCACTACAAGAAGCGCCTGCTCGGTACAGCCTACAAGTCCTCTCCCTTCGGTGGTGCTTCTCACGCCAAGGGTATCGTCCTCGAAAAGGTCGGTGTTGAGGCCAAGCAGCCCAACTCCGCTATTCGCAAGTGTGTCAAGGTCCAGTTGATCAAGAACGGCAAGAAGGTCGCTGCTTTCGGTGGGTAGCCCTCTTTTTTTCTCTCCTACAGTTATGCCCATGTGCTGCAAATACGGAAAATGAGGATTGTCTGGTGATGTTGGGATGGTGGATGTGCTGGAGATGGGGGGCTTGGATGGAATTCGAAGGAAAACGGCACGCATGGAAGGATATGGTTCAGATTGTGCTAACGGTTCAACTCGCAGTCCCCAACGACGGTTGTCTTAACTTCATCGATGAGAACGACGAGGTTCTCCTTGCCGGTTTCGGTCGTAAGGGTAAGGCCAAGGGTGATATTCCCGGTGTCCGTTTCAAGGTCGTCAAGGTCTCCGGTGTCTCCCTGCTCGCCCTCTGGAAGGAGAAGAAGGAGAAGCCCCGTTCTTAGAGGATTGCGCAAACGAACGATTGCAGCGGGAACGATGGGAAAGGGCCCATTCCATGGAACATTGGAAGATTACTACGATGGGATCTATCTTCAGTCTATGGTCTGGTCTGGAAATTATGGTTCAGGACGGATGACCCTGCAAACAAATTGCAGCTACTACGATTGATATACTTATAAAAGATGGCGCCATGATTTATTTCTTTGGGAAGGGCCCTAAAATATCAAGTCTCAAACTTCAATCCTCCGTCTCCTTTTAGCCGCTGTAGTATGAATTGGGTGCTTGAAATGTCCGTAACGATATTCACAATAATATATTTTGGGTTTTAGGCTGGAACATCCGGATACAATGTTCATCATCTAATTGATCTTATCGCATGATCCATATCATATGATCTTGATTCATAACTATTCCATTTAGGGTTAACTACGTGTCTTCCACGAGTCCTTGTGTTATCCCGGTGGGTATCGTCCCTCATATTTTGTCTATTACAATCCTTACGCCGGTGTGTAGCCATGCTTTTCTAATACCAATTCCTTTTTCATTTTTCGTCATTTTTTTCTTCTCTTCAACCAGATGCTTAAAAGCTGATATCCTCCTTGCGATAGTGGTCGGACACAATACGGTAAAGATAAGACGGAGCGTGACCTCCCCTGTGAAAGAACGTCCATAGTTAGCTCGGCTAGACAAGAATACATGAACCATGGGAACCCACAAATTGGTGATATAAAGGTCGATCAACTCTGCCGGGACGTAGTCGTACAGAGGATTTTGAACGTCAATCTGATCCACCAAGTCACCATCCTCGTAGCTGATAACGTTGCTGGAGTCGCCATATTCGATCAGCGAGTCGAAGTCGAACGGATAAACGGGGCTAAGCTTGTATACGCCGCTCACAACCACCACAGGGGTCTGGTGAACCTTTGCTGCGCGAGCAATAACCCGAGTACCTGCGGAGGCAACCAGCCCACCATTGGCAAGAACGGAATGTGTGCCCAAGATGACCTTGTTGACTCGGGACATGAGCGCGAACACAGCAGAATCCGGGATCAGGATGACGGTGATACCCAGAGCGATCAGAGGCTTTTGGAAGGATTCAGTGCTCAGGATCTCTTCATCGCCAGTACTGTTGCCGCTGACGGTGGCATGGGTCGCTTCGTGGTTGTTGGGGTAGGATTCGGCGTGAATCACGGTGAACTTCCGCTTGGCAGCAGCTTTCAGCAAGAACTTCTGGACGGTAGTGGACGATGTATGGGTGAGGATGATCTCGTTGGAGTGAATATGGTCGAGGGCATAGGCCGCAATCTGGTCATCTACTTGACCCAATTCATCGATGATCTCATTGACACCTTCGAGAACTTCGGCACGAATGTCCTTGCTTTGTGCGTGCCCCAGCAATCTTCCGGATGGGGAAGCCGATGCAGGAGTGCCGGGAAGCGACGTTTCGGGCTCCGGGTGTGAAAGTAGACTGAACATGGAGATCGGTGCGGGCTGCGACAACGGTGGTCGAGAAGATCCTCGGTCCGAGCCTTCGAAACGGCCAGATGAATATTCAGAAGGATCTATTATCCAATTGTTAGCGCCTTTAAATCACAGATAATGCGGGATGGCGAGTGCTAACCATCCAAGGCACGGGGCGTTTGAGGCTGGCTCTCGGAGCCTGCTTCACTCAGGTTGAAGTCGGCTTCCCTGTCGTCTTCGGCTTCATCCCGGATCAGGCCCAACACGCGCCGGACGATGTTACCAACTACCATTTCCTTCGGTTGCGCAGCCATCAGCCGCCTTCCCACACTCTGGACCCGCTCAATAAGCTTAGCTGCATCTGATGTGCGACAGGCCGAGATGACACGAAGGAGAAGGTAAGCGGTCGCGGTAGCGCATGATCGGGAGTGACGAATTTGTCTTCGCTTGAGGAGTCTGGACGTTCATTAATATACATAGCGAACATGCGAGGTGTGAGATGACGGTGAGACGCACGAGATCAGATTATCGATAGATGTGTCAATCGGATTGGTCTTCAACGACCGGAGAAAAGACGCCAACCCTGGCGTCAAAGCCACAGATGTGGATGGCATAGTTTGTGTGGATACTTCTTTGCGTGGATAGCGCTGCGTATTGGAGACAGGGTATTCCTTGGAGTCTATGTACAATGGTTAGCAGATTGAGTCATGGCCGCACACGGTAATTTCAGTTTCTATACATATATCCCAAGAACGGATGGTGAAATATATATATGCGACTCTAAATAACCCAAGTGTAGATAAATCAGAGGATCGCCAACTCACTTGATGTTTGGAGACAAATAACACCGGTGGTTGAGGGGCAGCGCTAAAAAGTGAGGAGGAAAGAGGGATGTTCTTTGGCGTTTGGTGGGATGTGACGGAGGGAGTTTTTGCCCGCCGCTTAGAGCTGCCGCTCGGCCCAACGTGCTGTTGGCATCTGGGACTAATCCCGGGACGGCCTGACAGCAGACCACTTCTGAACCTGGAGTATGTATGAGAGTCTCTCCCCACACACCTCTCTGTCGTCTCCGGCTACTAGACCGCTTTGTGTTCCTAGCTGAGAGGCTGTGCCTTTGTATCGGTTTTTCCTTCCTTTCCGTATCTTCTTTTCTCCTAGAACCTCCCCGGCCGACACGACTGGGACCTGGTTTACCCGCCGGCTATCGCTTCATCGAACAGAGCTGGTATAAGCGTGGTTCTGAGACACGGGTTGTCAACTGGCGCATTGAGGTTCGTATAAGCATCTTCTGTATCCCACTGCAATCTCAATGCTGCCTTATCTCGAGCCATGTCCGACATTGTTGTGCCTACACTACATGCGTGCTAACTAGCACGTTCTCCCTTAGATAGCTGCGCCAGCCCGGACACCCGTGGGCCGTGTTGGAAGATGAACTCGTTGAACATACTTTCGTCCCGAGTCATTGGCCAATCCTCCCACTCAAGCCGTAACCGTCAGAGATCACGTTCGCAAGGAGATATCCCACCAGTAACTGCACCGGCAGATCTCTCTAAACTCCGGTCTTACAGCAGCCACGACTTCCATTCGGCAGACGCTTTTGAGAAGAGTAGCGATGATGGTTCTGGGTTAACACATGAAGAGGACCAGTTTGGTCTTACGTTCGATGAGAAATCACCACTGATACGAGGGCTTCAAAAGGACGGGTCATTCGCTACCAAAAGTACACTAGGTCTTGTTGCACAGCGGTTTTTCGACGCAGTTGCCGAAGCAATCAAGTTCATCTTGTCCACTTTGGCCACACCCGGTATATTTGCCATCCAATGCTTTCGTGAGGATGACGGGCGATATTCCCCCATAGCTCCTGCGAGGAAGTTGGGGCGATTTCTGTTCGGTTCCTCTGCCAGCAGCGCAAGCACGTCGGCGAAAGACGTCAAACGGACGGAAAGTAGACGACGGCAGGGCTCCACGCGAAAATTGAAAAGCCACAGGTCACGAGATTCTATTGCCTCGAGCGCTTCTGAATCTGAGGGTGATCGGAAGGCCCTCAGGGGCTCTCCAGGTAACAAAAATCGATCTTCGAAAGCCAAATCCTCCAAGTCGGACCAGATGTCGGATGAGAGCACTCCTCGCCGTTCCATACGGATCAAGCTCCATAACGAAGAAGCTCTAAAGCGACAAAGGCAGCGCCGATCACAGAGTGTGGACCTCGATCAACCGTCAGAAACCGGGGCTGTAAATCCAGATAGCTTGAAATCGCCAACGTCTTCATCTATTCACAAGGCCACAAGGTACCCTCATTCGCCTGTGCCTCCTCGGCCGCTGATCCCACCCCGTTTGCCATCCTACGCTGCCACTTCGCGCGCGCATAGGGCTCCTCAAAAGACCTTGATCCTTGATTTGGATGAAACCCTCATCCACTCACTGGCCAAAGGAGGACGCATGTCCAGCGGCCACATGGTTGAGGTTAAACTGGCCGCGCCAATGACGACTGCTCTCAGCCCGGGGGCACCGCCGACGACGTTAGGACCGCAACACCCCATCCTGTATTATGTGCACAAACGACCCCATTGTGATGAATTTCTGCGCAAGATCTGTAAATGGTATAAGCTGGTTATATTCACTGCCAGTGTTCAAGAATACGCCGACCCCGTGATCGACTGGCTGGAGCAAGAGCGAAAGTACTTCCATGCGCGGTATTACCGCCAGCATTGTACTTTCCGGAATGGTGCCTATATCAAGGACCTGAGCTCGGTGGAGCCTGACTTGAGCAAAGTGATGATCTTGGATAACAGTCCTATGAGTTATATTTTTCACGAAGGTTCGTCCACTGGCGATTGAGAGCCATCACGGCCAGCATGATCACTGATTCTGTCTAGATAATGCGATTCCCATTGAGGGCTGGATCAACGACCCAACGGATAACGGCCTCCTCCATCTCGTTCCTCTGCTAGAAGCTTTGCAATATGTGACCGACGTACGTGCGTTTTTGGCGTTACGTAGAGGGGAAACAGAAGCATAGCCTAGGAGGGGATGGACATGGGCTCCCAAATAGAATTCATGGAACAATAAAAAAAAGTCCTATGAAGCACCGCGCGTATACAACCTGGTGGAAGTTTTATAATGCATCCATAGCCGTTGTGATGTGACTGTAAAGACAACTGGCCAGCATCATAAGTGCCAGTAGCATTACCACTTCATGCCCTCCTCTTTTCACTTATCATTGTCACCCCTACTTTATGTTCTTGTAATTTCCCCCCTCTTCTTCACTTCCCTGTTCTATTGTTATTGTTCCTATTTCTTTCTCTCTCTCGAGTTGGACGGATGTTACGAGTCAGGATCATCACTATACATATCATTATCATATTTTTTGTGTGCCCTCTGGTGGTTGTATGAAATCGGAGCCACTAGTCCTTATATATAAGCCCATTTCAACATGGACGGCGTCTAATGGATCGGTATTCAAGTTACCCTAACAATTCGGTACTGTCACTACTATGTAATGGATCCAATGTCTTGTTTGCAACCGGGAGCACTACCGCTAACTCGGAGCATCATCCTATTGGTCGGTGGAACAGGAGCAGTGAGCTTCCATATATTGAATCGGACGCATTCATGAGGGGCTGGGGTTACTGTGGGTTTACATCAATTAGGATACTAATCTACATTGAGATCGGATAAAGCCCCCGAAATACTCTTAAAGTGGTAAATTAACGTTTTTTATTCATTTCTACTTAAGTTCGTGACATATAGAAGGTATCATCATTTACAGTCCCTTGGCCTGCTTGGCTTCGGCCATGGCTTCCTTCAGAGCGGCAATGGCGTTGTCAACATCCTTGCGGGCAGGATCGGAGACACTGACGCCCATGTGTCCGAAGCGGATGTACTTGGTCGCAGCCTCCTTATGCAGGCCCGCTGCAAAGATGACGCCCCGCTTCAGCAGTCCCGGGAGCACATCTGGTGGGGTGAGACCCTCGGGCAGCCAGATGGCTGTCATGGCGTGGGCCTGGTTCTCTGGCTTCGCGGCCAGCTGCTTCAGGCCGAGCTCAGCAACAGCGGCCTTGACACGGTCGGAAGCCTGGGCGTGCACGGCGAAGCGCTCAGCCATGGGCCGGGAGGTGATCTGGGACAGGGTGGTGTGCAGGGCGTGGACCAGCTGGGTGGGTGGGGTAGCGAAGTAGGAGGGCTTGAGGTTCTCGTAGTTCTGCATGATGGGAAGCCAGTTGCCGATGGAGGCGTAGTATGAAGCGGGGGGAGACTGGCGGTTCTTGAAGACGTCGAGGGCGCGGGAGGAGGCCATCAGGATGCTGAGGCCTGGGGGGCAACCGATGGCCTTCTGGCTGGCGGTCAGGACCACGTCGATATCCCAGGCATCGAAGGCGATCTCCTCGCAGCCGACACTGCAGACGCCATCAACAACAACCAGGGTGTTGGGGCTGACGCGGCGAACGATCTCGGCAATGCGCTTGATGTCGCTGAGCACACCGGTCGAGGTGTCGACGTGGGTGACGGTGATGATCTTGTAGGGCTTCTCCTTCAGGGCCTGCTCGATCTCCTCGAACGAAGGGCGCTCCCCAATGGGTGCCTTGAGCTGTGTGGCGTTCGCACCGTAGGTTTCCAAGCACTTGGCAAAGGAGTCGGCGAAGTAGCCGGTGTGCAGGACGAGAGCATTCTCTCCCTTCTCGACCAAGCTGGAGGCAACGACGTCCCAACCGAGGGTTCCGCTACCGGAGATGACGAAGGGCTGGGCGGCGGGGTTGGTGGACTGGAAGAGCTTGCGCACCAAGGTCAATGTCTCTCCGAAGGTCTTGACAAAGCCGGGGGCAACGTGGCTCTCACTACCAAAAGCATCAGTATGGAGGGGTCAATGGGTTACGGGACCACCGGGAGACTCACGCATAGTGGGCCATGGACTGAAGGACAGCATCGTCGAACTCGATGGGTCCGGGAATCAGCAAGGTGGGGTGAGGGGCTTGGGACGACATGTTGGGCGAGGGAGATTCTGGTTGCGAAGAGGTTGCAGAAGGAAGAGTGGACGAGAGATCGGTGCGATCGAGGGGTTTATATTCGATATCGTCGGGAGATTGGGAGTCTCTCTCGGTCGAGAAGGGGGTATTAAGGCCGGGCAACGGTAGACGCTGATCCAGGTGCCTGGAAATCAGACTAAGCCGCTGCGTCGTTCGTGTGCTCGCCAGCTTTTCCGAAAGTTCGGCTCTCAACGCCGAGAATCCGCGGGGTCGTCGAAGAAAGTGAACGTGATCGCAAGGAGTGAGGGGACAAAAGTCGGGGATCGCCGGAGCCCAAAGAGGATCAATCGGGATCAATTGTTATTGGTAGATGCTGTGGTATATCCCAAGTATCCCTAGAGTATACTGAATAGAAGATGAAGATGTGAAAGAAAACGTCCTGAAAGGGATCTTTAAATAGGGCAATGGATCTATAAAATTTTTCAGATTATTAACCCTTTTTTCCCCTTCCCTCCTTTTCTATCGGCCGGAATGGAATTACAGGCTGCGGGCGGAGCCTTCCGTACGTTTACCTCCGCACTGCGGAGAACCTTTGGGATCCCCGGATGACTTTTTTGTTGGGATGGGGGATGCGAGCTGCAATTGAGTCATCTATCATCTATCTATCGAGTAATGGGAACTCGGGCTGGAAGGAAAACATCATCGTCCATTGTTGCATCCCGGTTTTAGAGTGTTGGTACCCATACACTGCGGAGAGTCGGCGGCATTATATATTTGTCAATCATGACTGTGTATACGTAGTTATAGAACATATAGTTCTGATATATCACATTCGTAGGACACCTAATGATACTGGAAGAAACCAACATAACAACACAACTGCATACTCTGTGTATTTGGCCCAAACAATAGGCACAAACTAACTACGGTGAGACTGTATCTGAGGTTTGGACTCCAGTATCTCTGTCAAGGTTCATGACATATGGATATCTCCGGAGTTAGTCAAGTCTCGAATCGCTAGGACTTTCCCCAAAGGCTTCGCAGAAAGGTCAGTGGTCAGACAGTAGCATCTAGCAAAGGTTATCCATGTACCTAGGACTAACACAAACTCATACGCGAGGGGACGACTCGAAACAACGCAGTAGATTGTATACTGGTGGGACAACATGACATCTGCAATGATTCAACAACCCAGTTGTGGCTAAGGGATATCGCCAAGAACAAGTAAGCACCCCGGTCATAGTATCAAATCATACGCAGTGTGTCTGGCCCACTCAGTACGGAGTAGAGTGAGAGATGGTAAGTCGATCAGCACGGCATCAATTACCGATGATAATCAAAAGTATGATCATGGACGGAGTACCTGAATAGGCTAGCCCAAAGATGGTAAAGCGTGATATATGGCTGATAAAAGTATCAGACTAACCATCCTTGTCATAGATATAGGGCTTAGGGCTCAAGGACCGCGGCATCGGTGTCAGGCGGCAGTAAGCTTTCCCCGCGAAGCTCCATCGAGTCGACGGAGCACCAGATAACCATACGTAACCTTAACTACTAGTTCGCCGGCGGCCCCGATTATCCTGTACGTTTGCAGGTAACTACTTTGTCTCCTAGGCACAAGTTTCTTTGGAATGGGCTGTTGAGTCGCAAGTTCCTCTCTCCAGGATGACGTCGCGTCTTGTTCTGGTCATTGGTGACCTCTTTATCCCTGATCGAGCCCCGGTAATGAATATGTCTCTTCCCTTCTTCTACCCTCAATTCGCTGATATGCCATCTCTAGGATCTTCCAGCCAAGGTGCGCGCCACTCAATCGCCCGTCAATCGGCAACAATTCACTGTGCAAACCGATCCCGACTAACTGTCGCAGTTTCGGAAACTCTTAACGCCAGGCAAGATCGGCCAGATCCTCTGTCTGGGCAACCTGACGGACCGAAGTACATTTGAATTCCTCCGTGGTATCGCTCCCGATCTGCAACTGGTCAAGGGTGATTTCGATGTCGACTCTCCCAATCTACCTCTATCAAAAGTGGTGACCCACGGGAGCCTCCGGATCGGTCTTACACATGGCCACACCATCATCCCGCCAGGTGACGCCGAAGCCCTGCTTATCGCCGCGCGCCAGATGGATGTTGATATATTACTCTGGGGTGGTGCGCACCGCTTTGATGCTTTTGAGATGGAGGGAAGATTCTTTATCACTCCGGGAAGTGCAACGGGCGCTCTGAGTACCAGGTATTGGCCGGAAGGAGAGGAACCAACGCCTAGCTTTTGTCTCATGGACGTGAGTCGAGGCCCAATATCTCTATGCCACTCTTTCTCCCATACTGAACCTTCTACAGATTCAAGGTGACGTACTTGTGTTGTATGTCTACCAACTCAAGACGGACGCCAATGGCGCTGAAACCGTCGCGGTCGAAAAGGTCTCCTTCCGCAAGAACACCGTTCCATCATGAGTTAACGCTTCGTAATATTTGCTTGTATATACGTCATAGAAACAGCCACGATCACGACCTCCTAATTGTATGTGACTTGAATTTACCAAGGTTTCCCAACTGGCGTCTGCTCCGAATTTGATGATGGACGAAGTTTTGCGGTCCCGTACGAGTTGCATGGATTGGTTTCCTCCTGATAATGTACTTTAAAACCCAGATGAAGTATCGGTTGCCCGTATCTGATCCTTCTGTTACCCCAATAACTGTAAAATACTTGAACCGGATTAATCTATGAAGCTCCATAATGCTGAATACTTGCAAGCCACCTGACTTCAGGGTGTTGTATGGTAGCATTGTTTTATTTTCTTTTTCTACAAAGCATCGAGATGAAAAAATAAGAATGAAATTAAAAATAGAATTAGCGAAAGTAGTTAATTAGTTCTGAAGACTAAATGGAAGACAAAGGCGAGCCATCTTTGTTTTTGCGCCAGAAAGTCGGGACTGGATTTGGGTGAAGTTCGTTGCCCGTGAAGGTTCAGATGACAAAAGTCGCTAACCGGAAAGAGCAGCAGTGACTTCGGCGTCGATCAAACACGAGCATAACCATTTGCGACCTACTACGACGGGTCTTCTACCTCCAATCACCGGTTGCTGGTCATTCTATTTACCTCTTCGATCCTTTTAATCTAGATTTCCTTTACTTCAATCTTTAAAGCTTTGCATTTGTCGGATATTTTATTTTCCCAGAGCTCTTGCTCCACTCCGCTCCGCTAGCAGTCGGGGAGGTGCCGTGACAACTTGAGTTTTTCCTTGACTCCGCGGGTCGAACATACAAGAGAGGAGGCATCACACGATTACTTCCAGAATGAATCCTGAAGAGAACGAGGTCAAAGATGAGCGCCTGCAGCATCAGGAGGAGGGGGCTGATGATGAGGTACGGGTGTTCCTTCATGCGGAAGCTCAAGCTCGATTGAAGACCGGAAGCTCAATTCTGGTGTTTCTGTATCGTCTTGGCTTTATCACCTTGTTTATTTCTCTTGTATCAGTTGAACTAACACGGTGGTCTCGCTTGTAGGAAGAGATTGCGGCGATGAAGAGACGGGTAGCCGAAATGGAATCCGAGGCGGCGAAGTTGCGCGAGATGCAAGCCACCCTTGATCAACAGTCCGAGAACCTGCGGGAAGACAAGGAAGAGATCGATGCGCGGAGTATTTTCGTCGGCAACGTTGATTACGGTGCTTCCCCGGAGGAGATTCAGGCGCATTTCCAGAGCTGTGGCTCAATAAATCGTGTTACTATTCTCCTGGATAAGTTCACGGGTCAGCCGAAAGGGTGCGTTATCGCTTTGCCAGCCTCTGGAACTTTTCTCCCCGCCTTTGCCCGTATGGATCCCACACCGGTTGCGAATGCTGACGCTTGTGGTACAGGTACGCCTATGTAGAGTTCGCAGAACCTAGCTTGGTTGCCCAGGCACTTGTTCTAAATGAGAGTGTTTTCCGTGGCCGGAACCTAAAGGTTGGTACCCCTGTCTACCCCTTGTGCCCTGTGCCGTTTCCCCCCCCTAACACGCACGCAGGTTGTCCCCAAGCGTACCAACTTGCCCGGTATGAGTCGAGGCCGCGGACGAGGTGGCTTCCGAGGCCGGGGTTTCTTCCGTGGCGGTTACCCCCCTCGGGGAGGCTACCGGGGAGGCTATCGTGGTGGTCGGGTCGGGGCTATGCACCGTACTAAATGCATGCAACGTATGCCGCCACGCCGAGGGCGCATATTTCGCAGACAAGAGCAAGCGAGCTCGAACGAGTCGAGTGAAAGAGGAATACGGCCGAACACGTCCACATTAAATCGATAAATCGTGAGGTTTCTCTGATTTCATGGAGAATACTTTGGAGTTGGGGATGGGATGTACTGTATGATAACCATCTGGCAACCGGTAGGATGGATGGATTCCGCTTGTTTCTATGATATCACCCATATTCTACTAGGGTTTCTATATCTTTATTTTAAATTTGTTACGATCATCGTCAGTTTTGAAAGCATATCCTGAGGGTCAATGGAAAACACCATGTTGTCTCTCTCTTATTTTTTTTTCACATGTGTGTGAGTGGGTATGTGTGGATACGATGTGTACGAAGCTAGGCAGTATGTACGAGGTGACTGTGACGTTCAGGATTCAACCCAGGCGATAAACGCTGGTAGGTAATGAGTAAACCAAAGTCGTGTGCCCCACTGTCTATGACTAGTCGTCATATCCGAGTTATGCTCCTAACGACAACATTAAGGGGGTAAAGATTGAGGAGACGTGGTATAGTACATAGTTACATAGTACCAAAGTCAATATAAAAATAGAGGGATGAATTTTGTTGCCTTACGAGACAGCCACTAAATGCTTGGCTTGGGCTACGGGCGAAACGTTTCTTCCAGTTGAATGGAAACTAAAGCACGCGGGGTTGCTGCTTTTGGCGTCATGGCCTGTGGATTTCTTGGGCTAGCCGCCGGCCTGGACACCTTAGGGTTCAGGTATCCTATCACCTTCTGTTCCTCTTCCCTGATCTGGGATGAACTCTGTCAACACTAGCCGTACAGTAGGTAATATACATGGATCCGAGTACTCGTCACTCTCAGTCACCGGTATTTTTTGGCTGGTATTATTTCTAGGATATTGGAATGGATCGGAGTATAATATTACACGACGATTACCCATAGGATCTTTGGTTCGAGGAATCTTCGGAATACCTAGTAGGATTATTTAGAGAAGGTTTATTTATGCATTGCTGATATTGACAGTATCCTTCGAATATTTTCTATTATTTTTTCATTTTTCTTTAAATTTTTAATTATTATTATTATTATTCCCCCTCCTTCGCCACGATCCGCCCACACCCGCGCTACTGTCCCTACGAGCCAAACGGGAATCAAGTCAATCAACCGCGCGCCGCTTGTTCGACTGGTCGGAAGAAAGCCCCTCGTCACAAGGTGATTGGTTCGTACAGCGCAACGTCAGGACCTTCTCTGGTTTGCTCAGCCCCAAAGTTGCCCGCGCCTCCATCTTCAGGCTTAGTCTCCCCGTTATCGCCAAACCTCAACTCATCTTTAGTTTTCTCCGTTGCATCAATCATCAATCTTGTTCGGTTTCACCCCCCTCCCCCCCTCTCCACTTCATACCACCGCTTCTGTCATTCGATCTACGGCCGACCTGTGTTTCCGATCTTTCGACTCCTGTCTAGTGTGCGGCCTGTGGTCTGTGGTGGATGCGCACGCCGCGAATTACCTTTTAGGCTTGTCCTGATCGGCCGTTTAACACCCGGAGGCGTGTACTGCCAGATCCCTTTCCACAGTACAGGATGGGTTCCAATCTGCCTGCGTAAGTCTTCTCCCGTTACTCCTTTTTTCTTTGGATAAGAAATTCTATTGTGTCAACAGCAAGAAGAGTAGTCTCGTGGTTGGAAGCGAGGGTGTGCTAACGAATCAATGACTTGCAGCCAGCCAAACCTCAGGGTTACAAGTAAGACATCCAGGAATGGGGGACAACTATCAGTCATTCATCCAGAGAGAGGAAAAGAGCGAAGAGCTAACTGACTCTCTTTATTAGTTATCGCGGCGGATGGACTATATAAGCGAGATGTCTTCCGTATGTCCCGCCTATCTGATCTGAAATGATTGACGATCGTCTTTACAGGTTTCACTGATATCTTCCTTCATCTATACAGGATTCCCCGATCCGTTCGCGGTGGCCACTGTGGGGGGCGAACAAACCCATACAACCTCTGTTATCAAGAAGACATTGAACCCTTACTGGAACGAGATGTTTGATCTGTATGCCTCCCTGGCCACGTTTAGACGTCCACATATTGATTAACCCTATAATCCAGGCGAGTAAATGAAGATAGCATCCTTGCCATCCAGATCTTTGATCAGAAGAAGTTCAAGAAGAAGGATCAAGGGTTCCTCGGTGTGATCAATGTACGGATCGGTGATGTGATCGATTTGCAAATGGGCGGTGATGGTAAGTTGGGCTGCGAGTCAACTGTCGTCATCTTCTAAGGTTTGTCCCGTGTGTGAAAGTGCCCCAACTGACATCGTCACTTGCTGCGTTATAGAGATGCTCACTCGAGACTTGAAGAAATCCAACGATAATCTTGTTGTGCACGGCAAACTCATTATCAATCTGTCCACCAACTTAAGCACACCCAATACCAACCAAGCCAACGGCTTACACCGGTCACATATGCAACCATCAACTTCCAGCGGCCTTGTGCCTCAAGTATCGGCGTCGACTCCGCAGCCACCTCCCGGCCCAAGTCCAGCGGACGCAACTGCGTCAAATCCATCTCTCCACCCTCAGCGTGTCCCATCGACTACTCGGCCTAACAGCACGGTTGTACCTGCCAATGGAACGCTCCCTCCGCCCAGTGCCCAGCAAGGCTCTCGCACCAATCTCAGTTCGTTTGAAGATAGCCAAGGACGGTTGCCAGCCGGCTGGGAGCGACGAGAGGATAATCTGGGGCGGACATACTATGTGGATCACAACACTCGGACGACCACTTGGACTCGGCCATCGAACAACTACAACGAGCAAACGTCACGTACGCAGCGGGAGGCCAGCATGCAGCTTGAACGGAGAGCCCACCAAAGTCGCATGCTCCCGGAGGATCGCACCGGCGCGAGTTCACCCAACCTGCAGGAGAACCAGCAACAGGCTCAGACCCCGCCGGCCGGTGGCAGCGCCAATGCTGTGTCTATGATGGCTACCGGAGCGACCACCGCCGGCACTGGCGAGCTTCCGCCAGGATGGGAGCAACGGACTACCCCCGAAGGACGGCCTTATTTTGTCGACCACAACACTCGCACCACAACATGGGTGGATCCACGCCGACAGCAGTACATCCGGATGTATGGCCAGAATGCCAACGGCACCAATACCACCATTCAACAGCAACCAGTATCCCAACTGGGGCCGTTGCCCAGTGGTTGGGAAATGCGCTTGACGAATACTGCGCGTGTGTACTTCGTCGACCACAACACGAAGACCACTACCTGGGACGATCCCCGTCTGCCATCGTCCTTGGATCAAGGCGTCCCGCAGTACAAGCGTGACTTTAGACGTAAACTGATCTACTTCCGGTCACAACCCGCTTTGCGAATCATGTCCGGACAATGTCATGTCAAGGTACGACGTAACAACATCTTCGAGGATTCCTATGCCGAGATCATGCGGCAGAGCGCCTCGGATCTGAAGAAGCGCTTGATGATTAAATTTGACGGTGAAGACGGTTTGGATTATGGTGGTCTCTCCCGGTAAGTAGTCCTGTCGATTGCGAAGAATTGTCCAATGCTAATGTCGTCCAGTGAATTCTTTTTCCTTCTCTCTCACGAAATGTTTAACCCCTTCTATTGTCTTTTCGAATACTCCGCACATGATAATTATACCCTGCAAATTAATCCTCATTCGGGCGTAATCCGGAGCATCTGAACTACTTCAAGTTCATTGGACGTGTTGTTGGATTGGCTATTTTCCACCGCCGTTTCCTGGACTCATTCTTTATTGGAGCGTTCTACAAGATGATGCTCAGGAAGAAGGTGTCGCTGCAAGATATGGAGGGTGTTGACGAAGATCTGCACCGCAACCTGACCTGGACCTTGTACGTTTCTGTTTTCCCGTGTGCCGAGACATATGTCAAGAGCTCCTGCTGATAATCCATAGGGATAACGATATCGAAGGCATTATAGAGTTGACCTTCGCGGTTGATGACGAGAAGTTCGGAGAACGCCGGACAATCGATCTCAAGCCGGGTGGTCGGGATATTCCTGTTACCAACGAAAACAAGGGAGAATATGTTGAGTAAGTTTTGGCTTCCAAGCGGCGAGCAAGTCGAGAAAGCTAACACGGCATCAGGTTGGTCACTGAGTGGAAGATCGTGAAACGGGTGGAGGAACAGTTCAACGCTTTTATGTCCGGCTTCAATGAACTGATCCCGGCCGATCTGGTCAACGTCTTCGATGAGCGCGAACTGGAGCTGCTGATCGGAGGTATTGCAGACATTGATGTTGATGACTGGAAGAAGCACACCGACTACCGTGGCTACCAGGAGTCGGATGAGGTGATCCAGAACTTCTGGAAGATTGTCCGCACCTGGGATGCGGAACAAAAGTCTCGTCTGCTCCAGTTCACCACCGGTACCTCCCGTATCCCGGTCAACGGGTTCAAAGACCTGCAAGGTTCCGACGGACCCAGACGGTTTACCATCGAGAAGTCTGGCGATCCGGGGGCGCTGCCCAAGTCCCACACATGGTACGTTGTTTCTCTGCTCTATGGCAATCGCGAATGCTTAGCTGACTGCTCTGTAGCTTCAACCGTCTTGATCTGCCTCCGTATAAGACCAATGATGTACTTGAGCATAAACTCTCGATTGCAGTGGAGGAGACGTTAGGTTTCGGACAGGAGTAGATGCATCTTTTGTTCCATTCCGAGACCAGATATTTTGCATACGAGTATATTAATTCCGCCGCCGCGTGCTGCGCGGACGGCATGCAAACCAACGCGATTGAGAGGGCGCATGCGCATGTTCGTGATCTCCACCGGCTTGTGTCCCTTTGGCATCCCATATTCCCCCTTCGTTCGTGGTCTTCATTTTGTTGCATGCGGCTTGGAGCAGACTATATGAATTTTTTTTCTCTATTCTTTCGTTACTTTCAGAGTGGTGGCTTTGTATATATTCTGTATTATTGTCCTATGGATAACGAGCTGACTTGAATCTGGAGTCTTTACATTAAGGAGGTCTAAAATTTCGTATCCGATTTTAGGGTTTGTGCTGTGCTGTGGCCGCATGTGACCGGTCTGATTTTGGAGAGAAGTGATACATCGTCCTTGACTATTGGACTTAGTCCTTGGACCCTTTTTGTCACCGCCAGTCAATAGACACTCCACTGTATGGAGTCAATCGAGGGACTGGATATAGAAGACCGCCTCTAGTTGAAAGAAAAAAAAAATGGACGAAGTGACTCGAATGTATGCTCCAACAGACCACGTTCACCCCATCCAGCGGTTGATATCAGGCCCCATGGTAGTTGACAGCAGGAACTGTAACCCACCCGGGGTAATAGGTTAGTACTATTGAATATTGGCCCTAAGACACCACCCACTAACAAACCCAGTCGGTGCCATGGGCCATTCATATCGCCTGAAAGAAGCAATCTCTCGGGGTGGCTGATATAGTTCGATGCAGTGTCTCTCATATCCACCGTTCTTACTTACTGGTGCCATGTCTTACAGACGCGAGCTCTGCAGATGTCACGCTCACATTCACTTTGGGAAGACGCTCAGACATTGTCATGTTGATTTAAGAGCCGAGCTGCCTCTCCTTTCATTTCTCTTTGCTACGTTTCTCTATCTAGGGCTGTCTTGTGACTATATTGTCTATACTCATCCTTATTGCCCTAACCCTTCATCATCTAACTACCTAAACGGAAACATGCGTGCTACACTCTTCGCTACTATCCTGGCAGGATCCGCTCCCCTCCTTGCAGCGGCACAGGCCCAGACCACTCCTACTACGGGCGCAACAACTTCAACCGAGACGAAGTGCGCTGCTCAGAAGTATGTCTCAGAGATCGCTTCTAGTCAGCTGCATAGATATTGACCAATTCGAACAGCATCGTGGATGATTGTAAACAACGAATGTTGGGCCAGTTAAACGATTGCCAACCAAACGATTGGAAATGCCTGTGTGAGCAGCAGGGCAATGTCGTTACGTGAGTTAATGCACTTCCGTTTCTGTTCAACACTCTCCTGCATAAATAGCTAATATATGGAACGACATGAACAGATGCTACAACAACTGCCCTGGCTCTGCAGAGAGCGGCCCTGAAAGGCAAAAACAACAAGTCTACTGCAACGCGGCGAAGGCTCTGCCCTCGTCGTCAAGCAAGGTTCCCTCTTCGACCGCTTCGGCGACGGAGGCGAAGAAGACCAGTACCGCTGCCACCTCGACTAGTACGTCGACGGGTGCTGCTGCTGCTCCTACCGCGGCATTCGGAACTGTCGAGGGGGGACTGATGTTGGGTGTTGTCCTGGGGGTTTTGGGACTTTGATCTGTTCCAAGTTGCGTCGGGGAGTTATGATAATACTTAATAGTAATGTGTATGTCGCCGTGGATGGAAGGGGAAGTGGATAATGTATATCTATTAGTCCATGATTCAACCGAATGTAATTATAATCATATCTAATTCCATATCTCAGGTATAAACGTCATCCAATCTGTTTTCAATCAGATACATCCACCTGTTTATGTACATACATGTAGGGTATCAGATAAACAAACCAAACAATAAGCTATTCGACCGTATCAATAGAGCCGTCGAGAAGCAAGATAACGCAGCCCCATTGAGATCCTCTTCCTGGTCTGCCATAGAACAGCTAGTATAGCTCCGACAGCACAAGCAGGGACAAGCATATACAGCAGGCCTTCATCTCCCGCAATGAGAATCCTAGTCTCCTATAGATAAGACCCGTCAGTATCAAGCCTTCCAGATCACCCAATCGAGACCAACATACCGAATCATCCAGCCGAAACACCTCTGTAGAGCCCAATTCCTCACCCGTGAAGTCCACCGCAACCAACCTCCAGTACCCATCCGCCTCACCCATCTCAATGGCCGTCTCAAACCCTGTCTTGGGCACATACTCCACCGTCTCGACCTGCTCCTCCGTAGCATTCTCCCACACCCTCTGCACAACCCATCCGGCCACATCGGTCGCCCCATTCCAGCTCACAAACACCGTCCTTGAACCCAGATCAACCGCCACATCGGGCGGCTGGCCCGGCCTCCCAACCCAGCCAGCCTTATACGTGCGATACGACTTGACCCAGCCCAGCGCGAAGAACATCCGCGGGCCCCAATGCGTATGACACAGCACGTCGCCACGGGCACTGAACTCCGTATATGCCGCCGCCTTCCCCCATCCAACAAACACATTCCCAGACTCCTGCAGCACCTGCACATTGCCCTGTGAATGGGCACTGAAGCCCCCCGGCGCCGGGTACACGGTCCTGACCCTCGCCGTCCAATTGCCCACATCCAGCTCAACCACCAACCCACGACTATACTCCTCATCCATAACATGGTCATTCGCCCCATTATCCAACACCGTAATCACATCGCCCGTATCCCCAGGAACCCACTTCGCATCATGCTGCCACTTAAACCCCGTCGCCAGCCCGCCGGACAAATCCTCAAACATGTTCCGCGCCCGCCCAGCACCCACAACACCTGTCCCTCGGGCCCAATGCAGGTCACCGTGTGCATGTACCGCGACGACACCAGATACCGGCCGTTGGGGAGCTTATCCACGCTGTTGATGTGGAAGAAGTCGTACGCGGCGTTGCTCGAGTTCGCCGTCCCCTTGCTGTTGAGCGGGAAGAAGCTCTCCGTGATGTTGTAGTGGTCGCTGGCGCGCCAGGAGAAGAGCAGCGCGCCGCTCTCGACGTCGACCTCTTGGAAGAGACAGTCGTAGATCCACCCGTCTGCGGGCCCGTCGAGCGGCGTGAGGTCGAAGGCCCGGATCTCGTAGATGGTTATTAGCGCTGTGCCGGCGTCTGTGAGCTGGAATTCGTGGATGTCGCCGGCTTGGTTGTTGGCGGCGGTTATGGTGTGGGTTGGGGTGTAGGTTGAGTCGAGCTGTGAAAGTAAGTAAGGTATGGAACTCTTCCTCATAACCCTAAAACAACCCCGAAACCCTCAAATCAAGAAAAAAGACAAAAAGAAAGAAAGAAGACAAACCATATAATACGCCCCCAACCCCCTCGTCCCATCGTCCTCCCCAGCCCAAAACGTCAAATAATCCTCGCCCCGATACCGCTGCACTCGAAAGTCCATGACCATGCCAAACTCACTCGCCATCCACACCAGCTCCCCCTTATTGTCGAAGATGAGCGGCCCCGGCTGCGGGTAGAAATGGCCCCGCGGACTGAAGAAGACGTACTTGTCTTCGCAGCGCGGGTCCCAGGCGAGCATGTTGAGCTCCGGGGGGACCAGGTCCACGGATTCGTATTTTCGGACGGGGTGGGCGCCCAGCAGGCCAGTGTCGTAGAGGAGGGAGTGCCATGTTAGGGCTTGGGTGGGGAGTAGGGTGGTGAGGAGGAGTAGGAGGAGGTATATTGGCATTGGATTCTGTCTTTCTGTTTTTCTGACTGTCTGTGGGTGAGTGAGTGAATGTGTCTGTGTCTGTGTCTGTGTCTGTGTCTGTGTCTGTTTATGTTATGTGTGAGGGAAGTGCATCTTTGAATCAGATCGACAGGTCAAGACCTTGTATACTCCACTGTGCTACTCTAGTATACTTTCTACTTTCTACTTCGTCCACGAGTCATGGAGATGAGCTGCGGGGGTACATGATAAACTAACCACGCCAGCCAGGGACAGAGTCTATAAGAAAAGGGGAAAGCAATGGTGTCCCACAATAGTCCGCGGTGGATTCATCATCGGCGACGCAAACTACGCAGCGTGGGTGACGAGGCCCGCTAAGCGGATGGCCACGATGTGGGGAGATCGCACTATAGAAGCCATTCCGTTGGTTGGCGATGTGGCTCCGGCCCGCTTGCATGGCGCCAACGGCGAAATAAGCATTGGCGAGACGTCAATTGATCCTCTTCGCTTGGAGTTAGTGTGGATTCACTTGTTCTTTCTATGCCGTTATCTGATCTGGTGGCCTCTGTTGGTTTATGAGGCTATACATATGTAGATGAGAATAGCCAACGGTACTTTACTAAAAGATACATATACATTGGATATCATAACCATACTCTATAGACCATACACAATCAAGTCTTCTTACTCTTCCGACCTCCCGTCTGCTCCTCCTCAACCCGCTTCCGTTTACTCCCCGGATTCGCCTCATGATCCCCCAGATCCCCATACCCAGAAACACCAAGATGCCTCAACACAAACGCCACCTTCTCAACATCCGCACAAGAAACCCTCCCCAACGCAGAATCCCCCGTCTCATTCAGCCTCGCCCGTAGCTCATTAACAGCCGTCCACAGCGCCCGATACTCCGCGACGTCATATTTGACATTAATCTCGCCATTGCGCTTGAACTTGCCCCCTTTCTTGCCCAGCGTGTCGCCGCTCTCCTGGCCAACAGTCCCCGGGAACGTCTCCAGACACAGCCAGAGGTACGTATCGTCACTGTAGAACGGGGCCTCATGCTCGGGGTCCCGGAGCGTGCCCACGGACAGGAGCAGCGACGCGGTGGCAATGCCCACGCCGCGGAGGGGCTTGACCAACGCGTCTAGACTCGTCTTGGGGAAGGACGCTGTATCTGTCTCTTCCTCTTCGCCCGTAGTCGTGAAAGCGTCCGAGGTTGCTTTCTGGACGGTCTTGGGTTGGTTCGCTTTCACCATGCCCAGTAGAGTAGGACGGAAAACACCATGTTTCCTGCATGGGGGTTAATGCCATACAGATCAAATGATAAAAGTATATAAGAAGAACAAAATGAAAAGAAAAGAGAACTTACAGCTTCCACTCAACTAGCTTCAAAACCTCCTCCTTCTCTAGACACTGCTTCTCGGCCGCCACCCCCGGCAAACCCTCATACCTCAGCGCATCTAACTCCCGGTACGCCTCGATCTCGGCCTCAACTTGCTTCTTCTGTTCCTCGTCCAGCTCGGGATCCTGTCCCGGAGGAGGAGGAGACACGCGCTTGCCACGCTTGCCCCGGATGGAGGCTTGGAGAACGCGGTTTGTGGCCTTGCGGCGCGTTACGGCCTCCACCGTGGCTGGGTAGCGGGTTAGTAGGGCCTGGAAGGTAGCCCGGGTGATGTGGGCCGGGTGGAAGTTGTTCATCTTTTTCCGTAGGTCTCGTCTTCTTGGTTCTCTATTTGGGGCCGTGGTGGTTTTACTCCATACATGGGGGTTTGTCTTTTTACTGAGGTCTGAGTGCCAGGCACTGTATTTTTGTTTAGACGTCGTAACTTTGGTATTAGCATTACGATCATTCGGTACGTTACCTGCTGAATACAGATACAGAGTACAGTTGGCAATTGCAAATCTTAATTATTCAGTACAGCATCCTGTATAAGTAGAGAGTCGTAAACATCGCCAGAAACGCTCAACTGCAACGTCTCGCATCGCACAAATCAAGAATAACTAGAAACATGCCAAACTGATCGGACCGTGGCAAGCACCGTCCCACGTAAACGCAAGTTGTAAGGCCCTAAAGTCTCATACAAGAATCGGGAGATGTATAGCATTACAACGGACGAGAGGTCTAGCCCCTGCGAGTAGTGATAAGAGCTGAGAAAACGAAAGAAAGAAAGAGAAAAGAAGTCTATAACATTTACTGGCCTCCACTAGGTTTTCGCTTGTGGTCCTTCTTTCTCTTGGCAGGACTGGTGTCCGGGCTGGCAAAGCTCACGCGCTTCTCATCCTTGCCGCGGTTCAACGACACCAGGGATGCAGAAAGAAGGCTGTCTTTCTTCTTGGAGCTGCCGCCCCGGAGTGGTTTCGAAAAAGACGGGGAAGGGTGACCGGCGGGGTCGGACTTGGGATCGCTGGTCGTCGTGGAGCCCGTCGTATCGTCGTCGTCTTCCACGTCAATGTGACTGAAGTCTTCTTCGTGATCCCCAGCTTCCGACGAGCTGGGACCCGGGCTATCCGAATCCGACGCCGCTTCACAGTCATCATCGTCGTCGCTCACCAGACTCGGAGCCTGGTTCGACTCGACGGTATTCGGACTGAGATTGGCCGAACGATCGACCCCATCGACTTCACGAAGACGAAGGTCATCGATCGGAGCCACCGATGAGGGTGGGCCGTACGGGGATTGATAAGGCGCGGCCCGCGTGGGCGTCAGGGTTTCCAAGGTGAGGGGCTTATGACTCGTCTTGTCCACCCCCTTGCGGCTACCTGGGCGCCGCGACCCGGCTTGCGGAGCTGTGGTCCGCATCGGTTGCCGGCCAATGCGAGTTTCAGTCGGTTTTTCGCCGTGACTCGTATTGACCGACGGCGGGGCCGGCTCCACGTCCGACTCGCCTTCATCGGACGAGTAGGCACTCAGATCCACGGGGGTCTTCGCTTCCCCAACCAGTCGGTCCAGGTCGAGTCCAACACCCTTGAGCTGCATCAGTGATGACAGATGAGGCGTAGCCGGCGAGCCCAGGAAGTCATCCGATGGCTTCGCCGGCGTACGGCGCTGAGTGGGTAGAGGGTGGGCAGACGGACGAGGTGTTTCCACCACGGAGGACGCCTGCCGGCTGGAGACCGACGATTTCCGGGGCGTCGCGTTGTCAGAGGCTTCCGACGCGGATGGTGTCTTGGACGACTCAATGACATGAGCCGATCGAATGAGCGGATGAACGTAACCTGCCGTGGCGGTGCTGGAGGTGTCGTTCTTACCCCCAATGATCGCACCTGCTTCGTCCACCTCTACGGGCTCTCCCGATGCGACCGCGGCCGCATCGTGACTAGCAAAGTTCCTGTTATGGGCAATGCGGCAATGATTGATGAATCCTTGCGTGCTGGAGAAATTGTCCCGTCGACAATCCAAGCAGACAAGTTTGACCAGGACACCATCTGACTTTCGCCGGATGATCATCGGGCCCGCTTTCTCCTTCGGCGGCGGATAGCCATTCGGCAAGGATTGCAGCTTCATGTTACCCGAGCCTCTCTGGAAACGAGATTTGCTGGCCCAGTAGCCATCGCCAGAGTTCCCACGCGTCGAACGACCTTCCATCAGCGGCGTACCTGGCGCGCCGAACCCTAGAGGGGTTGCCGGCTCGAGCTCCCCTCCGTCGAAACGAGGGTCCGGAAGCAACCATCGGGCATAGTGGCGGGTGTACGGGCCATCCGTGACACCCCACGGTGCCGGGGAGAGCGGTGGAGGTCCATTTCCAGGAGCTAACACTGCCATTCCCGTGCCGTTGCTGACCGATTGACCCGGGGCATGCGATCCCGGATAAGGGATCTCGGCGCACCGTCGCAACTGTTCCAACGCGACTTGGCATTTGGCGATCTCTTGGTCGATCAAACGGAGTTCATTGTGCTTCAACAACACCTCTAAGCTTAACTGTGCCTCCAACGTCTCGCGCAACTTTTCCACATTCACTTTGCGCGGGGTGGCATCCTGGTTGGCGCCTGGGAAACCTGACGGATCGGGGTTCTGACGAGATGCATTGTCGGACGGGTGCGACGGTTGGGATGCGCGATCGCTGAGGGCTGTCGGTTCCTGCGACGTCGTAGTCGCATCGCTGAGAGAGAGAGACGGATTTTGATCAATCGCGACCGGATTGCTGGGCGTATCGTCTGCGCGCAACTTGGTTGCGACCGGAGCACCTTGGCCGGTGGCTGAATCGCTCGAATCGGACCGCTTGCGCTTCAACTGGGGCAGCGCCAGGCTGTTCACACCCGGGGCAGCGCAGTGTGGCGAGGTCGCGAGCATCTTGAGCTCCTCAGCCATCACCTTATTCCCCCCAATTGCAGAGGACCAGGGTAGCAGCCGAAACATGCCATGCGAGAGGTGTGCGACAGGGAGAGAAGTAGGGTGTTCAGACGCCAAGACGACTTGGGAGAAATGCGACACGTCCGAAAGCGAAAGAACCAAAAGGAAGAAAAAAAAAGGTGCGAATACAGTTAGTCGCTGAGTGATTAGATCATGCACCAGTGCATGCGAACGCGATCTAAATCTGGGGGGAAAGGATGGAGAGGTGGAGAGTGAGGCGTAGAGTCCGCGAAGGAATGGACGTTGCTGCCGATCGGTGATCAGGCGTCGTTTGCGACCGGCAGAAGCTCAGCAAGGGGGGGGGGGGTGGAAAGGGAGGAAAGAGTCACCCCAACCAGAAACACCGGACGTAAGAGCGGATTCACCACCTTTAGCGGGAGAGAGAAGGATGATAAAGGAGTTGGGAAGAGTAGTTCGGACGGGAAAGAGTTTTAGATTGAATTTCCGAACCAGAGAGAGAGGTAGAGAGAGAGTTTCCAGAGGAATGAATAATGACAGATAAGCACCAGAACAATGTTATGGGGAGAGGCAGTAGTATGAGGGAATACAGTACGTTCTCCGTACGTTCCCAACAAGTAAGTTAGTCCACTCACATGCAGTTCCCGGGAAAGGAGGGAAAAGGCAGCAAGATGGATCCACGGGGCTATTGATTGGCACCTCCAGAGAGGCAAAATTGGCGGAACACAGGTGGTGGCGTAATCTATTAATAATGGATGCTAAGGAACACAACTCGTAATGAATTTTCACCAGGAACAGGCAGCAGACAAGAAGAGGGGATGAATCAGGCAAGAGAAAAAAAATCGTGCACGAGATGACCACGAACTTTTTGGGTTCAATCAGTTCCGAAAAGATAATACAGAATAGGAAGGAATTTCGAGCTAATCTGCGAATCAACTAAAGATCATTTGGGGAACCGACAAAGAAAAAGAAAAGAAAAAGAAAACTATATACGAAGGAGAACGAGGGAGACCGGCGATAAGAAGGATGATCGCAAATCAGTAGTCCGACCAGGGACCCAAATCCTGTCGCGGAGATGGAGAGTGATGAAACCCGTCGGGGATGGAGAGAAGGGGAAAGAAGAGGAAAGAATCTGGGAGTTGGAGTTGGAGGAGTTGTTGGTTTAGGTTCTGCGAAAGGGAAAATAAGAAGAATACTAATCTTTCGAGACAGTTGTTGGATTTGGGGGGGTGGAGGCAAAAAGAAGATCAGTGACAGTGAGGGGATCTGGTTTTGTTTCTCATTAGTCCCCTGTATGTATGTTTGTACCCAGTCGTAGTACTACCGACACTGGAATGGTCTATGACGACGGGGGGAGGCAGCTATCACCACACATTCAATCGTTATCTCGTCTGTTCTCAAGAACTGGCCAATATCGATGAGCCGGAAGAGACTTTCCTAGCGAGTCAGAGTGCCGTAAAAGTACTGGTGAAATGTTTCCCTAGTATGGAATATTATCTTTAAATATAATAATATTGATTATCTATTTTTTCGATATATGCGTCGTGAGCTCTCATTGATCCTCAGGAATTGACTTCCCTGTTCCAGCGTCCGGTTGAATCAGAATGACACGTCAAATCAGATCGTCGCGCTATTGACCCTTCACATTGGCCGGTGGGTCCATGATGTGATACCGGGCCTGGACTGGTCCATGGCTCGTCTTCGCTGTATTGACCGTCACGCCCGGTATGGTACTTTTGTCCCTCTCAAGCGATCTGAGCTCTTGTTGGTCTTCTGTCTATCCGTACCTGCAAACTATCCGTTTCCTTAGAACTTCCTGCACTGCCACAGGAGTCACTTACATGTACAACCCACTCGACCTTGAATTGGAATATACCTACTGGTAGCGGTAGTTTAGCGCGTTGTACCACCGTGGGCGATGCCAACAATGTGCATATATATCATTGGGCACCCGCAGAGTTAATGCCCTAGTGCAGCTGTATAGGTCTTTAGTAGGAATGGTGGGAGCTATAGTTGGCTAACTATGGAATATCTCCTTAGTCACGGTGGTGACAATTGGATTATAAGCTAACGGTGCCATGGATCGGAAGAGTGTGGTTAAGGTTCGTCGGACACACATTGGTGGCTTCTCTTCCAAGTGTTGACTTCTTTCATATTGCTGGGCCCATGGTTCGTTCGCTGCCTGATCTTTTCAATATCATCGACGGCGTGCCTGAGGTACAAATGATTACATCATGGCATCTAGTCATCGCTTGCTTTTCCGTTCTGGGTGCTTTGTTTTCCCGGATTTGAAGATCAGACAATGACTCTATACCAGCTCCATAACTCTGGATCAGTAGTTTCACTAAAAGACTCCTGCGCCATGGCTCGGTAGAATCCATCTTCTGGACCAGAGAATAGTATGTGGTAAATTTCAATCGCTACCTTCCCTTCCGTCCTTGGATTCTCATCCAGTGCTGTCCTGCTAATACTTCCCAGGCTGAAAATGGGAATCGGCGAGTTGTGCACTCAAACAGTAAATGAGTGAGACACCACATCTGCAACTTTGGCTACTTCAGACACGAGGGGAAACCCTCGTATATAACGCAGCATGGCTCAACTAGAGTGAAAGACCGCAATTCGGAATATCCGAGTGCCAAAAGGCGGCAATCCCTTCTACCACAGTTGGGGAATTCCGGACGGAGCCTTTTCGTTCAACAGCGGCCACGACTTAGGGCCTGGCAAATATTGATCAACATTTTCGGGTTGATGTTAGACCGTACATACTCGACCGTGATTGCACGCGGTGGATACTCTGGGGTTTTAGGGTACTGACGAACGGCCGGTTTTCCTCCGCACCCCGCAACCACGCCTTTCGGCAGGGACGCCATGTGGATTCCATGATTTTAATGAAGAATTGTCGTGGGATCGCAAGATGGATTCTGCTCTATGCTCTCTTGTCATTGGGTAATTTGCCTTGTGTCTAACAGCTTGGTTTCAACTGCTACGGGATATGTTCTCTATACGGTTAGACTGTGGATCTTCAGAAAGCAGCAGACGGGAATATTCTTGCCCGAAGAGCTTTCGTATGTCCATTGTGATCTCACTGGGTGACGACCAAGGTCGGGAATTCCAATATGGCTCGGAGACACCAGTTTGGCCTATATCATGGCGGGGGTTCCCACGTGGATCTTACAAGACGTGAAGAGTGAAGACTGGGAGGTGAGCAGACTCACCGGTATAAGCTCTCTAAAATTGCATTCATTGCGTGAAAATGCGCTCGTCACTACCGTTTCTCACTGCCCTGGGCTGTATCTCGGCCGCTTTGGCAGTTCCCCATCCCAGAGTGCATACTCCAGAGTACGTCAACTGGACCACTTTCAAAGCCAACGGAGTCAACCTCGGAGGCTGGCTCGTCCAGGAGTCCACGATTGACAGCCAGTTCTGGGGCACATATTCCGGCGGCGCAGACGATGAATGGGGACTTTGTGAACATCTAGGATCCCGGTGTGGACCTGTGTTGGAGCATCGATATGCGACCTACATCACGAAAAGCGACATCGATAAGCTGGCCAACGTTGGTGTAGAAGTCTTACGAATTCCCACGACATACGCCGCCTGGATCAAGCTCCCTGGCTCCCAACTGTACTCGGGGAACCAGACAGCCTACCTCAAACAGATCGCCGACTACGCGATCACCAAGTACGGCATGCACATTATCGTGGATGTCCATTCCCTCCCTGGTGGCACGAACGGTCTCACCATCGGCGAAGCACCGGACACTGGGGCTGGTACTACAACGAGACCGCGTTCGACTACTCCATGCAAGTCATTGACGCCGTCATCTCCTTCGTCCAGAACTCCGGCTCACCCCAATCATACACCATCGAGCCGATGAACGAGCCTACCGATAACCCGGATATGTCCGTCTTCGGAACCCCAGCCGCACTTTCAGATCGCGGAGCCACCTGGGTCCTGAAGTATATCCGTGCCGTGATCGATAAGGTCGCATCTGTCAACCCCAACATCCCAGTCATGTTCCAGGGAAGCTTCAAACCGGAGCAGTACTGGTCCGGTCAGCTCCCGGCCGACGCGAACCTGGTCTTTGACGTCCACACCTACTACTTCGAGCGCAACGTCACGTCTGAGACCCTGCCAACCCACCTGTACGCGGACGCGCGGTCCAAGGCTGGAGACGGCAAGTTCCCTGTGTTCACGGGCGAGTGGGCTATCCAAACGCTATACCAGAACTCCTTTGCCCTCCGCGAGAGGAATGTGAATGCGGGCCTCGATGCCATGTACAAGTATTCCCAGGGCAGCTGCTACTGGACCGCCAAGTTCTCGGGCAATGCGACCGTGAACGGGCAAGGAACCCAAGCAGACTACTGGAACTTTGAGTACTTTGTTGACCAGGGGTACATTGACCTGACGAGATTCCATCAGACGAACTAGCAGGTGCCCTTGTGTAGATTGAGACGATATGTTTGTACTGGATAGTACTCAATTCATGGCCAATAATTCGAATTTTGCAATTTTGAAGCTCACTAAACGGTGGCTGTAGCACAATTTTAATCGCTATAACACAGAAACAACAGGAGGAATATACAACTACACACAGTGTACACGTACAAGCAACAATAACCAATCATGAAAAGTCGAAAAAAAAAAAAAAGAAAGACAGTCTTACGACCGCTCATCAAAACCAGTCCATAATCTATCCACTCATTCTTAGCCCTTGCACCGGCCAGCGACGTCCACCCCAGCGCGAATAAGCAACAAGTCCATAAAGGGCATAGACCATAACACATAACCCAGTCTAGCGCAGGCAAAAATACGGGCACGTGCCGCACAAAACAAGGGGGGCGAGAAACAAGCACACACAAACGAGAAACACAAGAAATACAGGAAACGGCTTAGTTCTCCGTCATCCTGAGGATGAAGTTGACGACGACGGCCGCCAACAAGGCGAGGGCCAAGACGGTCGGACCGAAACGGTCGTCGATGCCGCTCTGGCCGCGTTTGCGGATGCTGGCTGCGCGCCAGTGGAAGGTGCACAGGGCGTAGATCATGGCCGCCATGGCGATGATGGTGAAGAGACCGGCGGAGATACGACCGATGCGGTCACCGAAGTTCAGGAGACCGACGGCCAAGCCGCCCAGGATGACGGTGAAGTTGAGCCAGGAGAGGAAGGTCCGCTCGTTGGCGAAGAAGACCTTGGGTTCGACTCTGGTGGGCAGGGCGATGCGCTTGCCTTTGGGGGGAGCTGTTAGTTGGGACTGAGACGAGTGACTCGTGATTCCTCTTTTACTGACCTGGGGCAGTCTGGAGGAGAGGTTGACTCGACATTTTGGTCCGTGTGTGTGTGGGTACGGGATAAGAGCTAGTGAGATGGGATCCGGAGAGCTTGCAGGAGGGATGAGAGCAATTGGAGACGAGAGTTTCTGAACAACCTCGTAAATGTTATAGCTAAGAAATGTGATGGAAAAAATATCGATGACACTCGGTTAGAGAAGGAAGAAGAGAAAAAAAATTGATTGCAAGCGTCGGGGGAGAGACTAGAGAGGATCGATACAGTTGCTGCAACCACTACTGTCGGTATTCAAGACGGCCCAGATTCTGCCCCGCTACAAACGCTCCGGTCGCCTTGCTACTTACCCGCTTCGGCCTAGTTTGTGGCGTCGGATTGATTTCCGACCGTCGATGCAATCCCACGTGCCCTCGTTCGTTGCTGTTGTCATCGCTTGAGGTCGTGCCGGATTATGGTTACCCCGTGTTTCCTGTGGCGGTGACTGGCTAAGCACGGCGCTAGCCCCTAGCTGGCAAGTAGCTACTCAGCCAACCCCGATCCAGTATGGAGTGATTGCAGGGTGGGCCAACCATCGAGCATCAAGCCACAATCCTGATAACACGCTCAACTTGCGGCTCCTAAACATCCAGCAAACACCCTGTTGGAATCCCCATCTCTCCCTACAGTCTTGGATTTCCGCCCACATCGACGCTTGTTTCATCCCTGCATACCACACTACATCGCGTGAGTCTTATTCCTTTGCCGATCTTGACCGTCAATTCGTCTTCCCCTTTCTCGGGGCCGCACCCCCCACAACCATATCTCCAGATTCACTCTGGTCTGCCACCGTCGACTCTGGGCCCGTCTAGACCCCAATCGCAGTTAGACCATACTAACTCGATAGCTTCGTTCCAGACAACCATCTTTACACCCGACGATCACATCTACAATGGCTGTCGAGACTGCTCCCACTTCCTCGGTGCGTGACCATGCAATCCTGTCCCGCCGCTAAAACGTCATTGTCCGCTATCGTTCGTCCATTGACTCGGTCCGCGCTGACATCCGTCTCTCGTGGACGCCTATAGCCTGTCCCCATCGCGGACCTCACCAAGATTGCCTCCGAGGTACGTTCTCCCCTTTATCATCCGCCTCAACCTAGTCGCGGTGGCACACAGACTATTCAATTCAACTGTCACCATGGCAAGATAACGAAAACCCGAACTAATTCTAGTCCAGGCATGTGACTCCGCACTGGCCGGTGTCGAAGGCTACGAGCACACTAAGGTCGGCGAATGGAACTCTCAGATCATTGTGAGTGTGGACCGGATTCTCTGGCGTCGTTTGACAACGGTCTAATCACAAATCCGCTACAGAACACCATCCTCAAAGCCCTCATCGCCGCGACCGCTCCCTCTACCCCCTCGACGGCAGCCCCCTACCGGTTCACCGTGAACAGCACCATCGTGCAACAAGGTCTGATCGACAAGTCTGCGGCCGCAGAGGGCGCCGCCAGCAACACCGGCAAGCGCGGGATGCACTCCGCCTCCGGCGCGTTCTGGGACGTCAACCGTGATGGAATGTGGACATTCAAGTACCCCGGTGCTGACGAGCGGGGTTTGGATGTCGTCGTGAGTGTAACGTGGTTCGCCGTCAACTAAATCTAAGCACCTCCACTTGTCCGGGGTTATTAAAGATAAAAGAATTCTTGACCTGATTGGTGGTTTGATTGGTTCTTAAAGACGCATGGTGGTAATTTTACGATTTATTTTCTCCCTCTATCATTTTAGTATCATCGTTTTTTGGTCTCCGTTTGCTTTGGGAGCAAGGTGCAACGAGCAGAATCATTTGTGGGTATGATATTTTTCTCGGGTGAGCCTTATACCTTGTGTATTTCTAATCGTATCGATACATATGTAGGGGAATATACAAACAACTTGTACAGACAGACTATTATACGTATATTCTTTATTTCGGATTGGATATACCACATACGTGAGCATGCCATAGACTCGTAGACATCCAAAACAATACAAGTGGGAACAAACAAGCCTGAACTCCAATGCAGAAGGCAACATGCCTCCATGCTTCACCCAATCCCAGGCGCCATGCTAACCATGAAGAAGACTAACTGACAACGGACAATAACGGTGCGTACCTCCGGACCTCTCACCGAGGCTCGGAATAATCGTTCAGAGCAACGCACACCGCCCCGCGGTGATGCCCACTGTACTGACGGATAACCTGGCCCGAAGCCAACTCCCATAGACGAGCGTAGTGGTCACTCGAAACGGTGACTAAATAGGCTGAATCCGCGGAGAAAGCACAGTCCCACACCCATCGCTGGTGATTGGCTAGGGTGGTCTCCAGGTAAAGGGTGTTGGTATTCGGATCTACTGGGGGGCCATCGGGTTGTACGGGGAAGGTCTGCTGGGGCTCGTTGGTGGGCGGCGGGGTTCCGTTGATGAAGCTGAATGGGTTAATAAAGTCGGCTCTGCCTTGCTCGCTGCTTGGGGTGTTCACTAGGCTGTCTGAAGGAGGTGGGGACGAAGGGGTCTCTGTAGGTTCCGAGGTGATGGCTTTGCCATTGGCCTTGGCTTGCGCGGCGGCTGTCTTGGCCGGGGGATAGTCGAGATCGAGGTTCCAGACCTTGGCTGTGTGGTCTGCTGAGCATGTGGCGAGATGCTTGACGTCGGGGGAGAGAAGTATGCGGGTGAGGTAGTCTTTGTGAGCCTGGAAGGTACACATTGGGACGATGCGAGTCAATTCCGCATCTTGGACCATGCGCCAGATGTAAACATTGCCCTGACGAGTCGATTAGTCTCGAGTCGCAAAGTGAATGGATCGTTTGCCTGATATGACACCAAAAGGGATAGAGATGAATATTAAATACCTTTTTATTCCCTGCGCAGAGTAAAGATCCGTCGCTTGCAACACTGACACTTTGTACAGCAACGTCATCTTCGGGAATTAGCTGATGAGTGCAGACGCTCTCGCCCAGATCCCAAACCCTGACAATACCAGCGCGATCACCACTGATGAGTTCACCCTGGTTGGGGTGAATAACAACGTCATTGACGGGGGCTTTATGGGCATAGTTGCGTTGTAGACTGCCGGTGCGCGTGTCCCACACTTTCACCGTGCCGTCTTCCGAGCTAGTGACCATCCACTTGCCTTCGCAGTGAAATGCAACACCAGTTATGTTGTTCGTATGGCCATCAAAGGTCATAACCGGGTTGGGATTAGTGGACTTGATATCATACAACTTGACATTGTTATGACCTGCGGCGGCCAGATAGCGCTTGTCTGGGGTGATACATAAGCGATTTACTTGAGAGTCCGGATGCTGGATAGTCCGCGAGCATATTCCAGACAGAGCTTCCCAAAAACTGCCATGGCGGATTAGCGCGCTGGGTATACCGGCAATCGTAGGGAAAGTAGTTGACTTACCGAATGGTGTGGTCATATCCGGCTTTGGTAGCGAAGCGGTCAATTAGCGTCACTGAAATGCCTACCGAAGATCTCGAAGCCAATGCTGAAATGCAGCTTGTACTTACCGGTGCAAAGAATGACGCTCATATTGAAGGTGCGGGAACCTATGAGGAACAGAAGAGAATTAAATATTAGGAGGCCCTGAGCGATTCCTTCCCCATCAGCGGAATGAAAGTCGAATTGCTTCCTGCCGGCCTTATGCTGCGGCGGTCTTCGCTGCCCGCAATCCCTGGCCGTTCTTGGCGAGGCACACGTGAGCGGTCTTGAAGGCGGTGGGTAAGGCGGACAGCGCTCAGGGAGATTAAAAGTCGACTAAAAAAAAGGCCCATTTAAATCATGTTTTCATCTTAGTGCAGATAAGATACAAAGCTGCGCCCTGTGCTTTGTTTTCTTCGTCAGCGAGGATTATTTCGCGGCTGTCAAAGAGGGTCTGACACCGGTCCACCATCCGCGTCATTTTCGCCTTCGGTTGAGCAGCAGCAAAGTCGTGTCCTTGTCATCTCTCGAGGCGTCGTACTTGGCAACTAGTCTTCCAATCAAGTAACTAATATTGGTTACCAACCGTTTATTTGTTTCGAGATCGCTCGCATCGTTCCAAACCCTGTGACATCCAGCAAACCTTTTGCGCTTACTCGGTATTCCACGGAAGAAAATTGAAATTTCTGATTAGAGGTTCTCTGGTGTCTCAACAGGTACGAACTACAGCGCAACAAAGGACCATCAGAGGGGAATAACTAGGAACTTATTCTTACTTATTTGCATAGCCTACATACATTATCCATGGCGTTTTCCGCCCTGTCGCTGCGTTGATGGTGTCGTCGCCACATACCTTGCGCCCATCGACGTGTCTACAATACGCATCGCACTTGCCTCGTCTGAGACCTCCGCTTTGTTGAAGGGTGTAAAGCCATAGGGCGGCACTCTGTCTTTCTGGTCTACATTATATTGGGTTATCTCTGTCACGATGGATGGAAGCGTGGTTGAAGGTATTTCTACCTCTCTCCAGACCTGCCCTCCAGATCTTCAAGGGCTTTACGCTCTCGAGGATCTTCCATCTCCCCCTTACGTACATCACCTGCATGTGAATGATCTGGGGCTTACACCACCCCCTGGGTCACAGCCACAGCAACCTGTCGATGCTCAGGTGCCCTCGCAGGAAGAAGACCATAGTTTGCCAAACGGCAGTGAACAAGGAGCGTTCACCCACGACCAGTTTCCCGGGGACCAAAAGCTCAAGGCTTCGGCGGCGGGTATTGGCCCGTCCAAGTTACCGGTTCAGGATGTTGACCCTGTAGGTTTCGCTGGTTCAACTGACACAGTACAAGCACTGTTTGACGACCCGCTCTTCGATTCCGAGGCTGTACTTCGCGAGCTTGATGCGGCCTTTGCGTCTCGAAAACGAGCTGGCGACGAGGCCTTTCCAGAGCTTGATTTCTGGGGCCCACCAGAAAAGAGACGACTAGTCGAGTCGCAACAAGACCACTGTGTTCCTTCTCCTGGTGGAACGCCTTCCTTGTCTTCTCCCGACTCTTCTCACCAGCCGGAACAAGGTGGAACCGCTCCCCATACACCAGGAATAGAGAGACTTCAGTCACCCAATCCACTTTTTGACTCGTTGGATGCCCTGTTCGAGGATCCAGATTTCAATGTTCCTTTGATACCTGATGACGAGCTCCCACCAGATTTCGAACTTGAGCCATCTCTCGCACAAGGCGACCAAATTAGCCAAGAACCTTCGAATCATGAACCGGCAGATAGCAACGGAAACGAGCAACATCTCTTTGGACTCCTTGAAAACTCAATATCAAAGGAGCCTTCTGTCAGCCAACTTACTAAAGACCGATTTTCTCTCGACTCTTCGGATCTGGCGTCTAATATTAGCCGAGAAATGTTACAACGGATTCATCAAGAACCGGAATACACGTCCCCTTATCCACAATATGGAGGACCTCTAGGTTATCTTCCGTCAGCACCAAATCTCCACGTCAAATACATTGAAGTTGCAGATGACCGAATGAGTTATCGCGTCTCCAGCCTGAAGGAAAAGATATATCATCTCACCTGCGAGCGGAACAAGTACAAAAATGCTTGGTTTGAGTGGACTACTATAGACCCTGTGACGGGCAAGACCAGAGAGCAACTGCTGCGCGAAGAGAATGCCATGCTTCGACGTGTTTCCAGCCAACACCAGAACCGTGTTGAGCAGTACAAACGAGAGGCAACAGAGTGGAAAAACAAGCTACATGACCTTGGCACAATCTATAACAACCTTCTGTACGAGATCCACGTCCAGAAGCAAGTGCCTGCAGTTGCTCCGGTTCCGGATTCATACAAGCCTCCGCGCACATCGCAAGTCCAGGGACACCCTCTCACGCCGAATTCTCACCCTGTCACTCCGGCGCCCTCAGGAGACATGCAGCCTGCCAGGCAAGGCTCTCAACCTCTTCCTCCCCAGTGCATACCACCAGGCGCCTCCGATGTCCACGGGAGTCAACAGCCTGCTAGTTCAGCAGCAGAACGCGAGTCGACCCCAGTCACGATTGATTTGACAGACGAGATGGCGAACAAACCCGCTCCCCCGGAACCCTCTACGGAAGGAGGCCAGCGCCGCATGGAGATGCTCCAGTCCCTACGAAACAAGAAATATGGCTGGCTCGAGACCGGACAGACGGGGCATGATTTTCGTACATTGAGTTCGCAATCTCCACGACCCCAGCAAGATACTAGAACCTTAGTTGAGCGGAGTCACAGTGATCCTCCAGATCATTCAGCTGCCCAGGACGACCCCATCGATGATGATGACGAGTTAGCTCGTGCGATGGAGGCGGAACTGGCCGAAGCTTAAAGATTATGATACCCCTTCTTATTACTTCAAGATTCCAGCAGTGTAATCGAAGCTTGCATAGCGATTAGGGAATATTGCATACTTATTTAATCTGTGAAGCCTGCCTGTGTTTATTATTGTAACTAAATCTTGTAGATGTAGCAGCCACCGTTACTATGTGGGCAGTGGTCAGTTGAGCAGAGCGAGTAGATAGATCTATCCGAATCACGACAATAATGCTTGCTAGCAGATAAAGAGCAATTTAATAAAAAATACCTGTATGAAGCAACCCAACTCAAAAGTCAATATATCAAACGAACAAAGGCGTAGCTAGAGCCTTTCTCTTAGCCACCAACATATCTGACCTCGTTCGCAAAGGCTCTTTCCAAAGCCCAATGCCGTGACCTGAGTTTCATGAGCACTGGATACTCATCTTCAATATCGTCATTAAGGTTCCACCGAAAGTATTCATACAGCGGAAACCTAGCCATCTTCAGAGCAGCCACAAACTCCTCAAAAGCTTGTTGGAACCTGGCCGTAAACGTATAGTCACTTGAAGCCAACACTGTCGCATGGTCATTAAGCAAAGCCCGCGTTTCCGAATGCACTACATCTCATCAGTTAGCCTAGCCGGTCGGACTGGCTACATATCTGCACCTACTCTTCGGCACATTAAAAGGCGATATCCCATACAGCTCCTCATATATCTCAACATCTTGCCTCAGGCCCATTCTGTATAGCTTAGCATCTTCGTACAGCGATCCCCCAATACGTGGCGTGATATCGTCAGGAGAATGCTCTCCGTAGCGCAGCCCGCTCTCCTCCCTTATCTTCTTGCGCTTGTAGGCCGTGAGAAACCGATGTCTGGCTTCTGGGCAGCTTTCGTCGAGTTCAATCGCTTTTGTTCGCTTGGTTGGGCTGTTCGCGGAGAGACTTTGCCCGATTTGTTGCATCCAGAGTTCGCGGATGGCTGGACTGGCTGGTCTTGGTGTTTTCGGTCTGGTTGTTGTGCTGTTCATGGTTGATGGTACGTTGTTCCACTCTTCTAGGAATGCTTTTAGGTTCTGAAAGCAGGAATCGCAGAAGAATAAAGGTGATATGGAGTAGGTATGTGGATATGTACAGTATGCTGATGTTGTAAATATCTGTTAAACCAAGACGCACCCTTCCGTCTTTTTGTGTATATGTAGATTGTTGATAATAATAGACACCGGACTATATAGGAAAGACCTGACAGGCATTCAAAGGACAATGGTCTGTTATGCTAGTTTCCATCAATAATAAACCAGGGGGGATTCATCAACCATGCTGTACTGGACATACAGAAGTAGAAGACAAAGAATTCTCGTATAAGGAAGGGTCTATTCCATGCATGTGTCGTCGCTCTACGGAAATCCACAGTAGAAACGCTTTTAGGGCTCGCTATTACAGTGGCTGTTTGACTTCTGCTAGTACAGACAAGTCCATAGTCTTCAGACTTTTGGTCCTTCTTTCTGGCTCTTAGCCGGTGTGTACCTCCTCGCTCATCATTCATGACTCCGTAGGTTACGAACAGTAGCTAACCAGAGGTTACAAAGCTTTTGTACCCTGGGGAAAAAACAGTGATACATAGTCAGCGATTATGCTAAGGACCCTATATCCTTTTTGGTAGGTAGTGGTCTTGGTTCAAAAAGCACGAGTCCTCCTTTCCTGCCTCATTGTCGCTTCAATATGGTGAGCTGAATAAGTCAGGTAGGTAAATCTTTTCATTCTCTTCTCTTCGCCTTGAATTTTGTTAATGACGCGCCAATATAATCGTATGCTAACCTCCTGATGCTAATAGACGAAAAGTCTCTACGGATGAAATTCGGCCCCCGATCGACCTGTTATTCACCGGCAAACAAGCCACGGATTCTTGTGAACAGGATGTTTTTGATAACGAAAGACATGTTTCTGAAGTTATCCAACAGCTATGGGAGTTTCGTCTGCAGGGAATGATGTGGAGTTAGACTTCCATGGAGTAAAGGGTGGCAAGCCGAGGATATTTCCCGGGGAGGGTGTTTGTTTATACCAGCTTCTGTAGTAGTTTCTGTCATTGCTACGATATTCATAGCCAAGGTTAAGGACTCTGAGTTTTCGTGGGCGGAGGGTTACCTAACATTTATCGAATCGACAATAAGTAACGGTTAAGATGAAAATCCATATTGTGCATGGAGTTTTAGTTGAAGGATGTATGAGTATGCAAATCCTACATACTCATGATATCTATAGGAATATTAAAAGAGTCAACTGGAGGGTCATAATCCTGGATTGAGTATATCTGTAGTTCAAACAAACATTCATATATCCACCCAGCATTCTAGGGCTAACTAGCCCATGGACACGAAGTTTATATAGTTCTAGCTTCTCTATGCAGCAGGCTCTTTAAGCAAATTATTAAGGTCTGTTCTTCTCATGTTTCATTATAAGAGTACTGAATCTACTATAATTGTCGCGAGCTACCACTTACAGGTAAAAATATATCATCTTCGGGATATATCCGGACGTGCCCTAAGTTGAACGACAGAGAACTGAATATTGTGGTAGATCTACACTCAAATGACGAACGTCAACAATTAATCTAATTTTGCAGTAGACCTATTCAGATCACCTATCTATAGGCGACAGTATTTGTATCTGTATTACGTGACATATAATTCATAAATGTTGCCTAACTTGTAGTTCTACTGGTACTAGTGGCTCGAGTAATGAACGACTGATGAACCTTGCGTATATTTGTGAGTAGGGTAGCTCTACCTAGACTACTTGTTCTATGCGTCCTGTATCAAGATTGAACTCACTCAAACTACAATATCCTGACACTGAGAAGCGGCGAATAGCCTGGCATGTCCTTACGAGTTACATCTCTGGATCTGGAACAGTCCAAATACCTGTAGATTATAATATCATGACAAGTCGTAACAATCGTAACTAACCAAATCAAATGCACCTCCAATGCTGAAGCCAAGCTGGGATAAACAATATCCGGATAGAGACCCCGGTCTATATACCAGTTCTAAAACAAAAGTTGAGATATATATGGCCAGCTTATATATGTGGCTCTTACTGTATGTGTATGTTCTTGATGTCCCATAATATCCAATCCAAAACCTATAATAGACGAGCTTGCTGGACGAAACGGCAACCAAGCTCACTCGGTAGCGGTGGTCGTTGCGGGACTATGAGCATCCTTCTCGCGCATCGACACTCCATTCGCACCGCCGTTCTTCAGCGCCTTCCGGGCCTTCCGGCCCCCGCAACAAGCCGCACAGCAGGAGCCCAGCTGCAGAATGAACGACAGCAGGTTGCAGGCGCTCGCAATCCACATGAAGGCCAGCATGCGGGTGCCCAGCTCCGCCTCAATATTCAGGTCGTAATCCGCCGAGGTGAACACGTTCTTGAAGATGATGAACATGACGGTGGCGACGACGGAGGCGACAATGGTAAAGAGGGCCGTGAAGAAGGTCAGAAGGAAGAAAGGGAAGGCGCGGAGGAAGACGAATGTGCGGCGACGGTGGGCCGGGTGAGCGGCGTTAACGTTGGGGTCCGATGAGATCGACTGCGGGGGTCGCGACGACGTAGCCAGGGGGGAGAGAAAGATCATGATGAAGGTCAAGACGGTGGACAGGATGAAGAGGGCGAACATCCAGTGGGAGGCAATTCGGGCGATCTTGAGCGCGTCGGTGATGTCTCCGGGGAGGGCAACTGGACTTGGTTAGTGGTGATCTGTCTGGCCTGCACGGGGGGTCCGAAACGTACTGGTGGCTCCGGAGAGCAGTTCGGACATGATGATTTCGACCGGATTGAACCAGTAGAGGGTCTCCGGTTTGGAGCATTTGGTGATGCCGCTATCATTGTATCCCTCACAGAAATTCCACAGACCGACGGTGTAGAAATCATGGAGACCGATAGAACGAGCAATACTGTTGATCAGGACGGCATTGGGGACGGAGAGTGGGATGATGTTGGAGAGGTCAATCTTGAGGAACCACGTTTGGCGGAGGACGGGTTTGTTGGAGACATTGCCAATGACGACCAGGATCAGGAAGATCCATGCGATGAGGTAGAGAAAGGAGCGTAGTAGACGGTGCCAGAGGACTTTGGAGCGACTGCGGCCGTACTCCGGCCGTTGAGGAGCTTTCCGGAAGAATGGGAGGTTCGCCATGGGCTCAGCAACGTGCGACGGGCCCAGTTGTCGTAGGGCTGGTAGAAAGACAAACGATTGATTGATTGATAGATCTCAAATTCATATAGGATTGTCAGTTGGAATGGTGTTGACGATGACGTAGAGAGGGACGACTGTATAACGAGACCATCCACGAAAACAAACCACGGCCGACGGTCTATACAGGGTGTTATACAAAGCACAGATAGGGCTGGAGAGAAAATATGAAGGCAGGAGGAGATGCACAAGCGAAATACGAGAAATGGAGCCAGGGAAGCGACGATCGAACGGGAACTCCTTCAATTGAACCTTAGGCGATCGTCGAAAGTTGGGTTGTCCAGGGAAAATCTGCGCAAGATCGGCGGCGGCGTAATGCGGTCGTAAGTGCTTTGCAGTCTGGGACAGCTGGGAGTCCCTGCTGGCGGGTCTGGATTCTGGGACCCGCTGGCTAAGGGGTAACGATCGCCTTCTCGGCGGTAGTCAATCCTGTCATTCTTTTCCCTTCCCAGTCCCACTAGGCTCGAGGCGAGATCCTGATAAGCGGTTGATCCTTGAATAGTGCCGTTGATCGCAAGAAATTTCACGGCCACGGCGAGTATCAATACCCGTATTGGAATCTAGATTACCTACAGGATTTCATGACGGAGACATTGACTTTGAGCTAAGACAATACCAAAGAACCAAACAAAACAAATCAAAGGAGATGAAATACCGTACTGTATACTGCGGAACAGTCCAACTGAATAAAAATAGAGGCGCAGTTGGTGGATATTACGTGTTTCACTTGAGCCAAAATTTTGTCGAGCGTGAGTTGTCTGGACTCTCTGCGTTTCCCACGCCAACCCCTGGCGTTAATTGGGCCACTGCACCGCCGCAACGTCATCGTAGCGTGCTGGCCCACTGTGGAGTTTTTAGTTTGATATTAATATAGTGTCTCCATTCCTATTAGTCCAGACCAGCCAAGACGTTTTCTTGCAGCCTGCGATCGCCCTACCGGTACTCAAGTCTGTTTTTGTTGCGGGTGGCTTGCTGGCCCTGGTACCGAACATACCCATAGTAACGCTGAACAATACACAATACCGAACCAGCTCATAACATTCAGGGACTGCCTCAGGTGCGAAACTCCGCATCGACCGTCAACATTTTCTCCATCGTTCCACTTTCTTTACTTCTCCTTTTCCTATACTCATATCCTTCCGCATCGTATCGATTCTCTTTTTCTTTCCCTTCATAGTTACATTTATACACAGATATATACGTACACATACAGAATTATTATACGATTAGAGAATCCCTCGGTGATCTTTTCTGCTCAACCGGCATCATGCGGGTGATGATCCGGTTACTACCGCTGTTGGCGGCAGCTGGCATTCTCGCGGCAGATGAGTCCTCGAGTTCGACCGACACGTCTACGGGGAAGGGGATGTTCACGCTGGAAGGGACCATCACCGAGAAAGTCAGTGATGCCGCCACTCCGACCGGCACCTATCAATCGATCACCTCGACCATCACTCTAAGCACCGGCCATGGTACCGTCATCGGCTCGCACACCCTCACAGGTTCCGACGCGATGGTGACAACGGCGTCGAATAGCTCCAATACGACCACCTCCACCTCTAATTCGGTGACGGTGCTGGGCGGCACCCAGACCCTCAACGGCACCGCCAATGCCACCATGACGGCCTCCGCATCCGCCTCGGAATCCCCGGTGGTCAACACCCAGCCCTGTAACGGATACCCTGAATTCTGTGCGCGGAACTATTCCAACATCACCGTGGTTGCGGCCCACAACAGTCCCTTTGTGCAACCAGGCAGTGTCGCCGCCAATCAAGCGTTGGACGTCGAGGCCCAGTTGGACGATGGAATTCGAATGTGTAAGTGGACGGTCAGAGTGTGAAGCGGGGGCGTAGCCGACTGATGTTCGAATAGTACAATTCCAGACCCATCTCGTCAATAACACGATGCGCCTATGCCATAGCAGCTGCGAGCTGCTCGACGTCGGGACCCTCGAGGCCTATCTTACAAAGGTGACCAAGTGGATGAAAGCTCACCCGTACGACGTGGTCACCATTTTGATGGGCAACTCGGACTACGTCGATCCGGGCAATTTCACCGGCCCCGTCCAGAACTCCGGTCTGATGGATTTGGTGTATACGCCCAGAAAGATTCCGATGGCCTTGGACGACTGGCCGACGCTGTCCAGCATGATCATGTCCGGCAAGCGTGCGGTCATGTTCCTAGACTATCAGGCCAACCAGACGGCGTATCCATGGCTCATGGACGAGTTTTCTCAGGTGTGGGAGACGCCGTTCTCTCCAACGGATCGAGACTTTCCCTGTGACGTCCAGCGTCCCCCGGATCTGGCGGCGCCGGACGCCAGGAACCGGATGTATATGGCGAACCACAATCTCAACCTCCAGATGGACGTGCTGGGTCTCAGCCTGCTCATCCCGAACACGGCGCTCTTGAACGAGACGAACAACGTGACCGGGTTTGGCAGTCTGGGCCTGATGGCGAGCAATTGTACCAGTGAGTTTTCTCTTCCCTTGTGTCGATCCGCGATGGGTCTAACAGCATTTAGAAATCTGGGATCGTCCCCCGAACTTCCTTTTGGTCGATTACTACAACTACGGCCCCGTCAACGGCACGGTATTCGAGGTCGCGGCGCAGATGAACAATGTGACGTACAACGGAAAGTGCTGCGGCATGGCCAGCGCCGGCATGAGCCTGACGCCGCAGAGCGTCATGGCCACCGCACTCCTGATCGGCGGGATCCAATTCCTCATCTCTCTGTTTTGAATCGCTTGATATATATATTTAGTTGTATAGAAGATTTGGCTGGGAGTTACGAGATACGACAGCCTGTTTACTACATATTTAACGAGAAACGACCTGCAGTAGCGCATATAGGAAGGAACAAGATAAACTTTCATTCCAAAACTTCACTTTCACTCAACACCACTAAATAATTACCATTGCCATAAATCCGAGCAAGAAGACAAACTCATAGACTCAGCACCAAATGATCAAGATAGGGCACACCCCAACCGGGTTAGCGCACCACCTGATCCGCAGCACTCCACCGCCCGCGGAGACAAATTAACCATACCAACATCAAAAACATATACTCAATCCAACTAACTCCCCTCACCCCTCACTCAATTACCTCCCCCACTCCAATCCCTCGCACTAAAAAACAAAGACCGACAGAAAAAAAATGGTCGACATAGTCCCCCTCTCCAGCTACCCAAGCTACATCGACCTCCTCCCCTCCATCCAAACCTGCAACATCACCAACCTGCCCGAGAACTACTTCCTAAAATACTACCTCTACCACGCGCTCACCTGGCCGCAACTGAGCTTCGTCGCCGTCGTCCGCCCCAAGAATGGGTACTCGAAACACACAGCGCCCGGCGGCGCCACCACCGCCGCCGAGCAATACCCCAAGGTAGTGGGGTACGTGCTGGCCAAGATGGAGGAGGAGCCGACAGACGGCGTCGCACATGGACATATTACCTCGTTGAGTGTGATGAGGACGCATCGACGGTTGGGCATTGCCGAGCGCTTGATGAGGATGTCTCGTATGTTTTTCCTTCCCTTACCTTCACTTTCGAGTTTCCTTTAGGGCCCTGCTTTGGTTTTCTTGAATGTTGGGGGCAAGTTTGGTGAGGGGCTAACGAGTTATTTTTTTTGTAGAACGGGCTATGGCGGAATCGCACCGCGCTCATTATGTCTCGCTCCATGTGCGTGTTAGCAACACCGCTGCCCTGCGCCTATACCGCGATACCCTCGGGTTCAAGGTCGAGACTGTCGAGAGCAAGTACTATGCCGACGGCGAGGATGCATATGCCATGCGCATGGATCTGACGGATATGTGGATGGACTGGGCGGAGATCGAGCGGAAGGATCGTCTGCGGGCGGAGAAGGAGGGCAAAGACGCCGACGAAGGCGAGGAAGTCGGTGAATTGGGGACGGAGAAGGAGAAGGAGAAGATGGTGAAGGTGCGGGTTGGACGCGGATTGGGCGTGGGAGATTTGGTGGAGAAGAATGAGTCGCAGACTCAGGCTTAAGGGGGGTTTTCTCCTCTCTTTTTCTTTCTTTCTTTCTCCCGTGATATTATTATTCATGCTAGGGTGGTATAGATCGGGTTTACTGGCTGCCGGATGTTGATTGTCTGGAGGTCTACTTGCCGTGGAATGAAAGATGTATATGTAACACTGCCTGCAAATGCAGAGTGGTGTGATGCAGTTCATGTCTCATTAAGCGCCAGTATCATGCTAACTTACGGCTAAACAAAAACTTCGAAAACATGTAGATCACAAAGATGAAAGACTCGACATGCCACTGGCACTATTACCCATGAACACATCCAAGAAATGCAGTAGTTACTCCACCGAAACACCGTTCCTCATGTACCATAACCCCTAAATAACAGATTCCATGCAATTGCTCAAAACCTCAAATGTTGCAAAGCTCGCGGTCAACCAGACTTTTTGCCTTTCTCTTCTAGCCCCGGCACCTCCTTGCGTTTGATCTTCTCCGCTTCCTTCGGGCTTTGTTTGCCCGTATCGGCCTGTTTTTGGTTTTCTTTGCCACTACTTGGCGGCTCATCTTCCAGAAGATGATGTGAAGACACAGTGCTAGGGGTACTGATCACGCTAATCTCGGCAACGGACCGTGCTGGCGAAGGGATGGATGTGAAAGATTGGACCGTCGATTGGCTCTCGCGGTTATGGTCGAGGTCCAGATTCTGCACCTGTTGCTCGAGACTGGACTCCGGCGGAGGACCTTCGATCTGGCGAGACCGTTCCCGACGCGTCGGTTGCGCTTGATCCGTCGCTGCTCCTTGTGCTCCTCCCTTGCTCGCCGCAGTACATCCCGGAAGGCCTTCCGCGTGGCCCGCGTCTCCTCTTTCAGGGCCCGTTTCTCAGCGGCACTTTGTTCATGTTGCTGTGGCGATTCCCATCGTCCACCCCAGCCGCGTCCGTAGCCATGCTGTTGTGGGTACTGGCCCCACCCCTGCCGCCAATTGCGTCCGGCGAGCCGGTCCCGACGGCGAGACTCCTGCAAAACGGTGAGCTGCCGTCGCAGCCCTACCGCAGCTTCATGCAAATCCCGGTCATGGTGGTCTTCGAGCGACAAGAGCTGCGCCCGAACCGTAGCCAGATCGGATGTGCTCAGCTCCGAGGTGGTGGATAACGAGTCAATCGATTCCAATGACGAGTCAGAGGAGGCCGAACCAGTGGATAACCTACGGATACGTTGGACAGGTAGTGTGGCCGCGGGCTCAATAGGTTTGACGGGCTCGACAGCGTTGATAGCAGGCGTATAAGGATAGTTATACCCGTTTGGATAGTAAACCTGGCCGCGAGCATCAGTGGCGGGCCATTCGTTGCGGGGTCGGCTGACCAGGCCGGTGAAAACATCTTCCATCTTTCGCCCTTGGAGGCTAGCCTGTTCTTCTATCCACCGACCATGCGCCATGGCGTGCTCTTCTACCTGTCGGCCATAATGTGAGGCTTGCGCACTGATCTGATCTCCATACTTCTGGGCCTGGGAAGCGAGCGACGATATCCAGCCCAGTGGTCCACTTTTAGAACTCGAGTTTTGCTGCGGAGGGGGCCAAGGCCGAGCATTCCAGTTCCAAGAAGCGTTGTGTTGATAGGCTATATGTGGTTGGGGAGAATAAGGGTATGTAGCATGGTGAGGAGGTGGAGGATGATAGTATTGAGGAGCACCGTAAGGTGTATGTGGAGTAGGAGGCAGTGGCGGATGCTGTGGACTCGGGTATGCGTAAGGCGCAGGAGAGTGGCGATTGCTTGCTGGAGGTGATAGCGGGGACATGGGTTGTCTCGGAGTTAAAGATGGAGTAGGCCGCACCGTCACCGCTGTCCGATTCTCCTGCGAGACCCGGGTGGCAGCAGGGTAGCATCTAGGACAAAGAGGAGATGCCGGTGCATTTTGTGCGTCGGTGATGTAGGAAAACGTGATGCAAGTTGCGCGGGGTTCGAAGAAGTATTGGTTCCATTCAGTGATCACAGCCGATATTCGCATCCGACGCTGCTCGTCTGTCTCTTGTGGGCGGTCTTTGCGATCTCGTTGGATCTGAGCCCTAACCTGAGGAGGTAGTTGATCGGAGGAGGAAGCGAGGCCGAGATGGGGAGGAAACAGATATCGCAAGAACATGTCCCAGTCCTGCTGGATGATGTGCTCAGTGCGTGCACCCCAGCAACGAGGGCGACGAGGAAAGTCCTTGGACTGACTCCGCGGGTAGATGGTTAGGTGGTGCTCGAGGATCGGCCGTTCATTGTCAATGGTAGGGACCGGGCGTTCAACGAAGTAAGCGGTGGCGGAAGTGAAGTTGGCGGGCGTAGGCGGAGAGGAGGCAAGTACGACGGAACTGGAGCTATCGCTTGAGGCAGCATCACCAAGTGAGACATCTCCCCCTCGGAGACGGAGTATGACCCGATTTACTTCGGCCGATGCAATGGCATTTCGAGTCAGCGGATCGACGGCGGAATATGGCGGAGGTGCCTCCTCTTCATGGTCCATCACGGATATCTGAACAAAATGGCAGGAAGTCGGGATTGATTTCAATGAACTCAAGTGACCTTTAGGCTCGTCAACGGTGATCCATCGCGCATAAACGATTAGATAACCTGCAGCCTTCTAGAAACCGGACACAGCCGCTGACGCTGGGAAGGCAGGCAGCAAGATTATCTAGCGCTTCAAGTGGGACAATCGGTATTTCAAATACGAGTCGATCCGAAAGGAATGGCGGGAATGAGATTTAGCAGAATAACCAAGGTCCAAAAGCACTCCACAAGAAGGTATCAACGCCGGGAAAGATGACAGTCAGGCAAGACAACAATAAGATAAAGTGAAGCTTCTCGTAAGGCGGCGGATGGTCACCTGCGATCACGGGGTCGGCGGGCCGGCATGTGATTGGCTTGACGGCATCGATAAGGCTGACTTATCGAACATTCCATGGATTCGATGCAAATATTAATCTTAATTCATCATTCAATTATGTGCATGGTATCTAAATTCTAACGCCCGTTGCGATTTTACCAAAACCCCGTACTTTGAGTTCTAGAGGGAAAAATAGAGAAACAAAAAGAAAGAAACTCAATCCCAAGCATCCCCCCAATCGTCTAGGTCCTCCTCTTTGGGTTTGGTTTCAATCTTTTTGACTGGAGCCACCGTCTTGGGCTTAGTCGTACTATTGCGACTGGCGCTCCGAGCCGAGGATGCCGCGGAGGTAGTCTTGCTCAAGCCCTTGGGTAGAGTTTTCTTTGCCTTGGACTGTGCCGCAAGCCAACCGGCGAAGTCCGGCTCGCCTCCATCGTCGTAGGGCACAGGGGCAGGCTTGGACGCCGGTGCAGAAACAGTGGAGGAAACTGTGGTTGCGGCAGGGCTGAATAGATCATCTGCCTTTTCCCCGTCTTCATCGTCCATGGCACCCCATGCGTCGTACACGTCATCCGGTTCATCGACTTCATTGGTGATCGGAACGACCTGCTCTGTCATTGAGCGGTGGCCTAGGGGCTGTGCTGCAGGACGTGGAGCCACCTTTGGCAAATCAAGCTGCGCCGAGGGCGACGGTTTCGACGGACGTGGCACGGATGCGGAGCGGGCTGGCTCGGCTTCGACCGGCTTAGCGCCATTCGCAGATGGCTCAATCACCCCATTCGCCGCGGTAAGCTTGTTTGTAAATGAGGAGATCGCCCAGCCTGCCCAGGACTTATCATTGGACGTTCCAATACGAGCATCGTCCTTGGGAGCGTCTGAGCTGGTGGAAGGAGACAGCACAGTTTCCGGCATAGTGCTGCCGAATTTACGTATCCGTTGGAGATAAACGTCGAGCGTCTTGTTCGCCTGATCCCGGATCATCCTATTCGCATGTTAGAAGCATAGAGATAGCGGCGAGACAAAGAACCCCTTACTTTTCCTTGTCAAGGAGAGAAGGGCATATGGCGGGAAGAACTTTCGTGGCGCAATCCTCCTCGGTAAAGAATTCCATAGTGGCAGCCAACGACAACAAGCCCGCATTACGGGCATGTACAAACGGATCGCGTAGCGATCTTGAAAATGCAGCAATAAGAACCTTGGATCTGGACTATACCCGCGGTTAGCATTGGCTTGTTTCAGGGGCGTGGTGCGGCATACGCTTTGTCCTAAGTTTTTCGCGATTTTCCCCAAGCATATAGTAGTGTTTGTACGAATCCCTGGTTGCTCGTCATTTGCAGTCCGAGCCAGGAATTTCAACAGGTCTCCATTGATAGTCCGATCACTCAATTTGTCAATGACCGCCAGGACGGCTTTAACGGTTTGTTCTCGAACAACGGGTGCAATGTCAGTGAACCCAGAAGTCTGAATGGAAACCAATTGTCAGTAATGGAAGAACACGAGGACTCAATAACACAACGAACCATCTGCGGGAAGATTTTGTCATTTACAATCTTTTGTGGAAGATTGTCAATCATCAATGGTAAATGGTCCAACAGACAAACCCGTAGCGCTCGGTCAGGATTGGCAAACAGGCGCACAATGACAGGTGTCAGTCTTGAATTGAATTCCTCTGATGATAATTTGGACCCAATCTTGATTATGGCACCTAGAACCTTGGGACCGCCTCCACCGAATTCAACAGATTTCAACAGCTCTGGAAGCACTTTCATTTTGAAGAATTCTTCGGGGAAGTCCTCGGTAAGTCCATCAAGCTCACTAAGACAATCAGTACTTTGAACCTTTACAATATACTTGTCAGCAAAGGGAATGTGAGGAGTAACCTACTTGATGAACTCTTCCCGCTCGGCATCATTCTTGAGGCCCAGGCTCTCTATATCGTCTGTCAACCTGATCAATGGTGTCTGGAAGAAGCCGCCATGCTTCTTTCCCTGTTCCACAAAGTGTCCCGGACTGAGTCGCAGCTTGGGGTTCGCCGTGCAAAGACGCTTGTAGCTTGCTTGCATAGTTGGTGGGATATTCGTTGTTCTGCCCACCTGGTCTCCTCCCATGAAGCCACCATTGAAGACTTCATAGATTAGGATGCCAAGTCCATAGGCATCGACAGCCGTTAGTGGGTGGCGCTTGATAGTATCCCATCCGCCTTTGACAACCTCTGGAGGTGTATACCGAGCTGCGTCCGGTACAAGGCTGGCAGATGTCTGTCGGTCGTTAACCCACATCCCCGTCTGATCGGCTCTGTCAAGGGGAGACTAACGTATATAACTGCATGTTCATCATTCATTGAACTTAACACATCGAAACCCCCTAGCTTCCACTCGCCACTTTCACTAGTGAATACTGACGAAGCTCTCACGACTCCGTGGACAGACGAAGCATCTTCATTTATGAACTTAAGCGTGGACTGTAAACAAATCTAGTTAGATATGCCCAAGCCCGGTCACCCATTCAGCCACGTACCGCCACTGTATGCAGTCCCCATTTAGAGGTCTCCTCACTCAAACTCCTCCGCTTCACATGCCACGATAGGGGGACGACTCTCTCGGTGATAATATAAAGGCTGGCTTCTGTCTATACATCGTAAGTAAGATGCGCGTCCACGGCTGGGTGACCCAGGACATCACCCAGCATCTAAAACCACCAAACGATCCAGTACCTCGATAGTATCCAAGACTTTAATAACACCAGGATGTCGTAACGTTCGTGATTTCCGCACCGCGTTCTTCGCCAGGGGTAGACGAGACTTATTAGAAGCAATATCGAATGTGAAAACACTGCATGCCGAGCCGTCATCCTATGCATCCAACCCAGATAGCGCCTCATTAGCCCCGCGATCACATCCAATAAACCGGCAACAGCCTCCTAGCTTTCATACCCGTTTCGTAGCATTATGAAGCGTCCATATCGAATCAGAAATATCGACTCTGTCACCGAGCGAGTAGGGGAAGGAGCTTCCTTTCGCGATTGCAGATGCGACGGCGGATTTGAGGAAATCCATAGTTGTTCGTTTCTCGGCCGCGGATTACTCCGACTTCTGACGACAATAGCCCGGCGGAAGTTGGAGTTTAGAGAAGGGCGAGTATGGTGGAAACCGCTCGATTGCTTCTGAATTGGCTGTACCGTTGACGAAATCCTGGTACAAGCAACTTGGTCCCGATCCAACAGCCTGCGCTGCTTACAAGGGGATTGTCAGTGGCATTGAATCACGGAAACTAATCACAACTAAATGATGGCCTTAGGCTTGGCGTAGGCCAGCGGTACCCCACCCCCAATGCGGTTTAGTGGCATCTAGCTTTCGAATATCATCACAGCTGTTGCTCCATCTCCTTTTTCTCCGATTCTATTCTACCATGCGCGTCAACGTTACCACCCGCCGAAATAGTGCAAAAATGAATCAAAGTACCAGGCAGATCGTCACGACACTAACTCTTTACACGAACTAACCTACAATAACTTTAGAAAACTAATTTCACCGCACCACAAAATAAGTGAGTGAGCTTTCTATCTTCCCCTTTCGCAGCCCACCAAATCTCCAGTGATGATCCACTGGTAAAAGGTCAGACCGCAAAACCAAGAGGGACGTCGTGCACCAGCCGAAGGGACTCCTTATTCGCCGTCAAGGTGTGCCATCAGACGAACACAAAATCCCTCCCACATTGTCAGCCAGCCGTACGTCATTCTCGAGAAGATCTTATCATTCATCCTCTTTGTTCCCTATCAATCAGATGCAGGCACATGCTTCGGTAAAAGGCAAATGGTCATAGTCGCAAGACTCACGGCATTGCATACCCTGGAAAGACGTGTGTACAGCAAAGAGGATAGTTCGCAAGCCGCAATTTGGGGTTTCTGGTCCGCTTTGTCTCCATGAGGAATTCAGAAACTAATGGCTGCGGCAAACAAGTGGGGGTGGATGCTTGGGTTTTCGTGGGAGTAACTGCTGATGGGAACGGAGGAGATGCGGTGGGGGATTCGATCGAAAATGAGGCATGGCTTTGGCTACGGTATGGCGGTGTGGAATTTGTGGCCGTATGATGGGCTCCTTGCCTTTGAGCTGGATGAGGTGAAAGTACCGCGGTTGTGACGCTGTCTTGGTTGGATGATGACCAAATATAAACTGAAAAGACCTGAGGAGATTTACCATCCGTGCCCCAGTTCACTACACACTCTTTTCTGAGGCTTCGTTACTAACTTGAACCTGGTGCAATAGACTTCTATCATCCATTATTTGACAGCAGCAACAGCTACACATCCGAAACCTCAGTTTTACATGGACTAGGACATGGTATTCATGGATTATCATTCCCGACCTTCCGTTTAATCACTGATTATCATTCATCCATGCATAGCCTGCACCTCTCGTGCCGTTTCAGCACTTAGGCTGCAACAAGTCAAACACAACAACAGAGCATGTAGAGTGCCATGTCGGTACCCTCTGGCACGGAAGCTATGAGAAGCAAACACAGTTATTGACTGGCACATCTCCATGCACGTCTTGAGCTTCCTGCACAACCCCTCGCTACAAGCAGTGTAAAATACGAGAAATAAATAGAAAATGGAAACGAAAAAAGCAAGATAAATATGAC